TGAAGTTCAAAATTTGTATTAAACGTTATACTGAAGAAAGTTAATTGTAGACCTAGAAAAGCAACATTTTAAAATACTCCACAAACAACTACTTCGAATATTGTCGATATACTTATTTAAGCTTTAGTCCGTATCAAAACCGTATTCTAATTTATGCCCATCTTCGCGACACCCTGTATATTTCGTAGAAATGTAACTAAAATATAATTTACCTAATAGTTAAGTCCTAATTAACATAAAATGTTATATATAAAATGAATAAATAATTTATAAAAAGTAAGAATCGTATTTAAAAAAAATTTAAATAAAATGAGAAATGTAAAGATATCACACTATATCACACATATAAACAGATTTATACACGATGAAGGTTTTGCTTTCTTCTCATTCGATCCAATAGATTCGATCTGTACTATACTTTTTTTCCTACTAAATCCGTCCAACGAAATCGGTGCCGCAACTATGACGTCACAACTTACTATTCCTAAAAGAGCTACAATCCTAAATTACACGAATATTAACGAGCATTTATATGCGCACATAATTATGACAAACATACATTTTAAACAAAGACAAGTTATTCAAAAGTTTTTTAATTTAGATCTAAAGAGAAAACGGTTTTTTCACTACAATCTTAATGTACCTAAGCTGATTAGTTTTGTGTAATTGTATGTACAAAATGCCAAAATATATAGATGATTAATACAACAAGCTTTTATCTTAGCTAATGTTAAATGAGAACGTGGTAATGAATGAATTTTGAATTGAAATTATTTAATGAATGAATATTTATTTATAATCGCGTTTTCTTTATCATATTTTCATTTTCTTATCTTGTCGTGATAGTTACACTCTTAAAAGTTGGTTATTTGGAAAAATTTCCTGTGTTACTCTCTTTTTTCGGCGATTCGGCAACGCTGTACAATCGTGTTAGCTAAACTTCAAACAGACGATGACGTAAAACGGATTTAGTAGGAAAAATCCTATATATTCACATTATCAGTAAAACTATAAAAGATTCTAATCTTCTAATTTAAAACTTGAAATGATATCCTAAAATATTGTATTGTCACAAGATTTGAGTATATTTAAGAATACTGATTCGAACGAAATTTTCGAGGAAGACGAACGAAAGTACAAGATTAAGAGCGGGGAATAGGTCAAGTTTGTTTTATCGAGTCGATTTTAAAACAAATTGGTTGGTTATGCAGCTAAAAACAGCTATTGATGGAAAATTAAATACTAAAACCATACAATTCATGTTATAGGCGTAAAACATTCTTATAAAAAACTAAAATTTATACACTTCAACTACTGAACAATTGGGATCACTTACAAACTTATTTTGTAACTTGTCATTTGTCATATGTCAATTTGAATGAATTCAAAGTGAAAACTGACAGCATCACCAAGCTGTGTTTGAGTTAGTTAAAGACTCGAATTTCATCCATTTAAGCCAAGTTAACTACAAAACCAACCATCACGTTTTTGTGTATTTCAAAAATTTTAATACAACGTATTAAAATTTGACTCAAACAAAAATGACGTAAACCCTAAGTGAAACGTAGATGGATCTACGTTGATAAAATGGGAAAAAATTCGAAAAATGAAATGACAGATCAGTTTACAAAATCACTTATTACAACCTATTGCTAAATAAATACTACTATCATAAAATGAATATTACAAGGTTGATAGATTGATACATTTTAAATGATTTTTGTTTAGAGCGTTATTGCAATTTTAAATGTATAGCAAATTGAAATAATTACTCTACATACCGATATTGAGGTTAAATAATTCTATTATTCATTTCATACAAATCAGAGTTCAGTTATTTACACAATACCTGAATTTTGTGTTGAGACAATTAAAATAATAATATTAAGTTGTCAGTACTACTGTCATTTTAGTTTAACATGTACATTGTTTGCGATTGTGGGGTACATTACGAGTTTTTAGAAAGTTTCACTAGATGGCGTTATTAAAAAGTATGATCATAATATTTGCAGAATTCTGTAAAAAAAGTTATATATAACAAAGCACACGATATTAAATAATTACGTCAACGGTTTTTAATTAACTTACATTATGTATCTAATGAGAATACTTTGTAGGTTTGCTAAAAATTGCAAAATGCAGGCAATCTAAAATGTTTCGCCATACATCTCATAAAAAATTTTTTGGCTCCTATTTCTTTTGTATCATCCCAAATTTCGGCATATGCAGATGATGTTGACCTAGTTGCCCGCACAACACGCAAGCTAGAAGAAATGTATACCACCTTGTCAAATGCCTCAAAAAATATGGGCCTGCAAGTAAATGAGGAGAAAACTAAGATAATGGCATCAACACCCAACAATAGAGCCAGAAACATCGGCCACCAATTCACGGTTGATAACTCTACCTTTGAAGTGGTGGACAAATTCACATACTTAGGCTCCCTGATCACCAAGGAGAACGTCATGACGGAAGAAATCAAGCGAAGAATAATCCTAGCAAACAAATGCTATTTTGGATTGAGTAGACATATGAGAAGCAGAAACTTAAGCCAAAAAACAAAAATAACCATATACAAAACCCTTATACAACCAGTGTTGACATATGGATCGGAGACATGGACCATTTCCAAGGCAGATGAAAACCTCCTGCTTATATTTGAACGAAGGATCCTGAGAAGAATATTCGGTGGCATCTGTGAAAATGGTGTTTGGAGAAGGAGGTACAACTACGAGATATATCACAGATATAAACATATATTTGGTGGTAAAGACGTAGTATCTCTTATAAAAATAGGAAGACTAAGATGGGCAGGACATCTGGCAAGATCACAGCAGAACAACCCTCCTAGAAGAATCCTTATGTCACAACCTGTGGGAAGTAGAAGTAGGGGTAGGCCAAAACTCAGATGAAGGGATAGTGTAGATGAGGATGGTAGAAAAATAGGCGCAGCAAACTGGCAACAGTTGGCAATGGATAGAACTGACTAGCTTAATAGACTTGGGAAGGTCGAGGTTCTTTTATAGGGCTGTAGTCCCAATGATGGTGATGATTTCTTTTGTAGACATATTTGGATGTTTAATGTACAAATTTCAAATAAAACTGGTCCCGTGTTGCAGTGTGACTCACACAATTCAAACTAATCATCTTGGTTTTGACATTTGTCATCCAATGCATATGATGCGTCAAAATTTGTAGAAAAAACAATAATTACTTTGGTTTTAACAGTCCTTATAAAGTAAGCCATTCTAGCGTTTTTAGAAAAATTTAAAAAGCGGAATATGATTAATTATAAGGTTTGTTCACTTGAAACGAGACTCTATCGCGAGTCCTGTCGACCAAAAACGACCAGGTTTGCCATATTCAGAAAATCTTCTAACAATGGTAAATGCAACTCGAAGGATTTTTTGACAATACGTGACATGAAACTTTGATCCGTTTCAACAGACATAGCAGAACTTCAACGCCCCGCGAATATTACCAAGACCGCCTGATCGGTCTGGAACGTGATTAGACTGTTTTTTGTTACACAAAATGTATTATTTACATTGTTTACTTGTAAAAGGCTGCACCAATACCTGGCGTAAATTATGGACGAAAACCGTCCCGCTATACCCGCCCACAATGCGGCTGTTGCACAAGGCGACAATACCACAAATTGGGAAGCAAATTGATAAATTAATCGACCATCCACTGTATGTACCAGATTTGGTCCCGTGTGACTATTTCCTGTTCCAAAATTAAAAAAAAAACGGTTCAGAAAATGCTGTTTTGTCAGCAAAGTATGTATGACAGAATGTGTGATATAACTTTTTGTGCAGCTCCGGCAAAAATTACTTTCATATGGGATAAAACAGTTGGAAACTAGCCTAGTCATGTGTACTTGCCACATAAGTGACTATGTTAAAATTCTTTTTTCCCAATCTAAAAAACATGGCTGGGAGGTCGTCATCTGCAACGAATAGTGGGACGATAGCTGAAATTTTTGAAGATTTTCAACAAAATTATATTTTGTAAGGGATAAAATGTTGAAAAAGCGTCTCGTGTAATGTTATCAAAAAGAGAATATGTTGAAGAATATTTAAGAAGAATTTAAGAAAAAGGTCATGTTTTTTCTTATTCAGTATGCAAAATCGTGCGCTTTTCTTACATAAATTAGGTTAAGTTGGGTTATGTCAAGCCACCATTGTATTGACAGAAATATTGATTTCTAAGGACCTCTTAAGTAATTTGTTGACAGTTGGCATTATAATGAAAATACATTTGACTTGGAAATGAAAAAGAAACGGCACTTAAATTGAAATTAAATTACATAAGGACACTTGAAGTATCTCAAGCGATTTAAAACGATATTCATATGAGCAGCAAGCTCCCATGTTAAAATTAGATAACTAAATCACCCAAAAAACACTACTACCCAACGTTGAAGGTTGAGGTTCACCGATAATGGTAATTTGGGCTGGTTCATAAATCAGCCAATCGCGTCCACTGCTGGACATAGGCCTCCCTCAGTTCTTTCCAGTGTTCTCTACACTGGGCCGCTTGTAGCCAGTTTGCCGCTACACGTTTTATATCATCGGTCCATCTAGTCGGTGGTCGTCCTCGGTTTCTTTTATAGTTTCTGGGCCTCCATTCCATAATATGTCTTGTCCACCGTCCATCTTGTGTTCTGGCTAAGTGCCCTGCCTAGTTCCACTTAAGCGTCGTGGTTCTTTCGACGACGTCTTGAACTCTTGATCTTTGCCTGATTTGTTAGTTTGTTATGTGGTCTCGAAGGCTCACGTTCAGCATTGCACGTTCCATGGCTCGTTGTGTAACTGAGTTTATTCGCGATTTTAGCGTGAGTGTTAAAGTCTCTGCTCCATAAGTTTGTACAGGTAAAACACATTGGTTATAAACCTTTCGTTTGGGACACATGGGAATTAAACTTTTTAGAATATGGGTCTCTGCTTGTTGGGGTAGTTAATGGTTAAATATTATGTAGGTAACCATTTTATTCTCTTAAATTTAGTTTAATAATTTTAGATAAAGTAAAATAAAGAAGATTTTACTTCTTTGACATGATGTGCTGAGATTTACAACAGAGATTTCAAGAGAGGGTGAATACTGTAGTTCATTTCACATGTATGTCACATATGTATAAGCTTTGTAATGATGACGCCCGCGATGAGACTCACCTGGCTGATTATATTTAACCTACTACTTGTATCATACCCACTTGATGATTTACCAGCTCATGTAAGATGGACAAAAAGAAAAGAAGAATCTACTGTTTCAATTACTATTGGAAAATTACCAACTTCAGTAAAAATCAGCTTCCAGCTTTTTACTCCCCGGAATGGACTCGCCTCATAATTTGTCAGATGTCATATGTCAAAGCTTAATAGCTTTTGACAACTTATATGTCTCTGTATGTGTCATATACACAATAGTTTTATTGAAGGTATTATGAAAAAACGGATTTGAATGACTCTTCTAGTCAATATTAATAATAAATGATTTCTTTTAGATTGTGTGTAACTAATAGTTAAATATATTTACTATAAAACCCTGTTTGGCAATTTTATACATATAAACGTTGAATGTTGCATAAAAATCATTCAAAATACATCAACCACGTCAAAAATATAAACAAATTAAAACCACGTTGATAACAAGATCCTATACCTTCGTATTAATAAGCGAACAGAAAAAATGTTTAGTCCTGCTGGAGAGTCGTCAGAAATATATTACCTCTTCGTCGGTGGGCGGTTGTTGATCGTTCCTGACCTTGAATTTATCCGGCAATTTCGGATAGGTGTGTGTGCGAGTCGCTTTGGCTCCTCCGGGGCTTTGGCATTGGCTGGAGGGAGCCGAGTTTGGCGGAGAGGCCTGCATCATCGCCGGACTTGAGCCTGTTCTACTGTGCACGTGAGGCATAGTTGTGGGTGTCTAAAATTGTAAAAATCATTAAAAAAATGTATTATTATTTTATTCCATACAATCCATTCCAAGAATACGCTTACAGTACTACCCGAATTAATAAAGTAAAACAAAATAGTCTACACTTTGGACCTTGTCAGTACAGTGTATACAACACAACAATGTAGTGAAGACACACGCCAGTCAGAAATGTTATAAAGAATGAAGAAAAACATGCCTAACTTTTCATTCAGCCGCTTGTGGCCACCGGTGGTACACGGTACCTTTCTATTTCTTAACTCTCTAAAACCTTGCAGCTAAACTCCTTTTACTCTATGAAGGCCGATATGTAATTAAGATATACAAAACAATAGAATTCTTAAATAATCAAAATATGGAAACTTTACACAAAGATCCGACAGAAAAATAACAAAAACAAATTAAGCTAGCGTTAGAAAATTCAAAATCAATAGTAAATCCAATAGAACAGAAATACCTTAATATCATGAACCCACAACCTCCTAAATTAGACTCTTTAATTAAACTACACAAACCGGATCACCATATAAGACCTGTAGTTTCTTTTTATACAGCTCCATCATATAAACTTTCAAAAAAACTGTTAGAGATTATTTTAAAACACACTAAATTTTTACCTAAATTTACCATAAAAGACACAATAGAATTAGTTAATAAAATACAACATTTTCAATTACCTATCAACTCCAGATTAATTTCATTTGACGTAAAAAATCTTTTTCCTAGTATCCCTCCTACAGAAACTTTTCTTCTAGTAAAAAACCTTTTAGACCAAAATAGTACAAATCCAATAATTACATCTAAAATTTTACATCTTCTTGAAGTTTGCATAAACCAGGACTACTTTGAATTTAATGATCAAATATATACAAATAACAGTGCAGGACTTATAATGGGCAATCCTCTAAGCCCATTACTATCAGATATTTTTATGGACCATCTAGAGACAAAGATTTCAAAACATCCCGTATTCAAACAATTTCTATATTGGTGGAGATACGTAGACGACGTACTGGTATGTTTCACAGGAACTAACAGGCAACTCGACCAATTTTTATCGTATATTAATTCACTTCATAGTCATATTGAATTTACAATAGAAACAGAACAAAATCAATCCATAAATTTTTTAGATATAAAAATTATCAGACTTAAAAACAAACATGACTTCTCCATATTTCATAAACCTACACATACTGACACGACTATACACAATTCATCATCCCATCCAACACAACATAAACTGGCAGCTTATCATAGTATGTTACATAGATTAACAGAAATTCCGATGTCAAAATACAACTTTGAGACAGAATTAAATATAATTAAGCAAATAGCAGTAAACAACGGATACAACGAACAAACAATTAATAAAATGTTAAATCAAAAACTACACAAGAAAGCCCTGAAATTAGTATTTCCACCACCAGAGAAAAAACCCAGTACCTTCTGCTCGATTACATATACAGGCAAAATAACAACAAAAATAGCCAAACACATAAAAAAGAAAGGAATAACACCAGCTTTCCGAACAAATAACAACCTAGGCAAATATATTAAAAATAACAAGAGCCAAAATAAAAAACACTTAAATAGTGGTGTGTACAAACTTCAATGTGGCGACTGCCCAAAAACTTACATCGGTCAAACTGGTAGAAACTTTAATAAACGAATAGCAGAACATAAAAGGGCTTTCAATAATAGAAAAACAGATTCGACATACGCACTTCACCTTCTAGATCATAATCATTCTTTTAATGACAAATTTAAAATACTTCACATTCAAAATAAAGGCCTTAAGCTATCTTTGTTAGAATCTATGGAAATCAACAAATTAAAAAACACAGATATAATTCTGAATGACCAACTTGAGACAAACAGTTCTCCCCTCCTCAACCTATTTCATTAGAGACTATAAATTGTAAACGCATGCCAAAAATAGATCACTTGAGAAAGGCAATCAGCCGAAACAGCTGTAGTGATAATAGTTAAAATAAATTTTGTGGAAGTTTGAAAACAAAGTTTTCAGTGTTCTATTGTTACATAAAATGAATTTCCATCAAGTAACGGTCGAATCCATCAATTATCTTAGTATAACATTTTAAAGACTGCTCATAACAGACGAGATACTCAATACTTTAGTGCAGCAAACAAATCGATATTCCGAACCAAAAATTATTGAAGCTATACATCGTGAAAACGTTAAGACAAATTCATATCTCACTAACTGGAATGATACTAACAGAGAAGAAATATTAAAATTTTTGAATATAAAACCACGACTACGAGATTACTGGAGCACTAATTTTATCCATCATTGCTCAATATACAAGACGACAAACACGTCGAGGTGTAGATTAGAGGCTCTTCTTGCTTGCTTCCATTTTTCAGATAATAAAGCTTGTCCTGAAGGAAGCAGATTGTTCAACGTTGAACCATTGTTGCAGGCGTTCAATAGAAGTTTTCAATCTGCTTTGGTACCAGGCAAATACGTTTGCATTGATGAATCGATGATTCCCTTTAGAGGACGTTTGTCATTTGAACACCTGCCAAACGTAATAAATATGGCGTAAAAGTTTTCAAACGCTGCGGAAAAGGCGGCTACACAAATCACGCAAAAATTTATGGCGAAAAAGATACTACATACTTCAATTAATTATACAAGGAAAAATCCAGGGCAAGAGAAGTGTAGGAAGGAGAAGAATCTCATGGTTGCGTAACTTGAGGGAATGGTACGGATGCACTTCAATCGAACTATTCAGGGAGGTAGCATCTAAGATCGGAATAGCCATGATTATTGCCCACCTTCGCCGCGGAGATGGCACGTAAAGAAGAAGGAAGTGTTGAAAACAAAAGTTTTCAGTGTTTTATTGTTATATACAGCCATTTTTGGACTACCAAACGTCCGTCCATTTCGACCGTCTCTCTTAGTGAATAAATACTCACAAACAAATACTACAGTGAAATACCGCTATGCCGTTCTATACAAAAACCGGTAATCCGCCAAAGACAATTAACCCTCGTACGAGAAACAACCACGTATGAAAACCTGCTATGCCATATCCGAAACCTACTCATCTGCATAGCGCGAGTGCATGTAACAGTGATATTGGTAAGCTTTTTTATAAACTTACTTCAATTACTGTTTGTATAACATTTAATTACCTCTCCTAATTATTTTGAACCAACCCTATTAATACAGCCTTAAAACTCTTAAATTATGTTAATAATTTCGCATATGTACATGCCTTAAATGTACACAGAACACTGCAAAAGAATTTGTAATAAGGTCTACGAGTTTCCTTTACGCCATTACTTATAAGTTAATCAAATAATTACATTTTAGATGTATTTTACAAATAGTCTTAAAATTAGATGTTTGACAGAACCTACCGTTTCTCCCGAAGGAGGACTAAAACTATTATCTGATCCTAATCTCTGATATCCAGATGTACTGGTTCTTCGAACTTTTTCGTCTTGGCTCAACTTCAACGGCAGCATCTGTTGTACACCTCCCATAGTAGGTTTAGGAAGGTCTCCACTCAACTTCGAAGCTAACTTCAGAGGAATCTGTTGCCTAATGTGTACGTTTTGAGACACTTTTTGCTGATTTGTGGCGGATATTAGGTTTAATGGAAGTTGTGATTTTACTTGTAGATTCCCTAAAAAGTTCAAACGTTTATAATTTATATTCATATGTAAGTTTGAGAAAAAAAAATTTAAGAAATGTTAAGCGAGGAATGAGAAAGAAAATCAAAGATCCTGGAGGATATGTCATTAAAAACTAGGAAAACATAAAAATAAGAATGTATAAAACGATATTATAAGGGGCTAGAAACAAGTTATCCCGTAGAGGAAACAAATTACGAGCTCATTTTTGTATGTAGGATAATTTTCTATTCCTTTCGATTTTGACCATTCATCTTTGAACAGGTGGCTTGTTTTTGTCGTCAATCAATATTCTATCTAATTAGCCTTCTCGTCCATCTTTGGACATAGGCCTCCCCAATCCTTTTCCATTCTTCTCTGTATGTCGCTACAGTCATCCACCTAGAGCCCACGTGCTTCTTGATATCATCTGCCCATCTCATTTGGGGCCTTCCTCTGCTTCGTTTATATTCCCACGGTCTCCAACTTATAAGAATTTTGTTCCATCGGTCTTCTTTTTGTCTTATATTGTGTCCGGCAAATCTCCATTTCAATTTTGCAACTTCTTGTCTAACATCCCTCACTTTTGTTTTCTCTCTTATCCACTCGTTTCTCTTTTATCCATTAGTCTTATGTGTAACATTTGTCTTTCCATTGCTCTTTGGTTTTTATGATTTTGTCCATGTTTGCTTTTGTAAATGTCCACGTTTGGGAACCATAAGTGAGAACAGGGAGTACGCATTGATTGTATACTTTGGTCTTAAGATGCTGTGGATATCTTTTGTTTTTAAGAATGTAGCTTAGTTTGCCAAATGCCGCCCATGCCAGTCTAACTCGTCTTTTTATCTCTGCTGTTTGGTTTTCTTTATTAAGTTTTATAGTTTGACCCAGGGATATATAATATATATATATATATATATATATATATATATATATATATATATATATATATAAAGAATTAAATCTTTTAGCGAAAGCCGCTATCGCTTTATATATTAAATGGCCAACTATATGGCCTAGGAGACAAATTCGTTAAACTTCCCGTGCTCGAATTGGTATCACTAAAGTGTTATGATCATTTCGGCCTATCCCAGCCATCGTCAGACACTTGGGCTGATACAAATTCAAACTCGGAAAGTAAAACGAATGTCTCCAAATTTAAATGAGCACGGGAAGTTTAACGAATTTGTCTCCTAGGCCATATAGTTGGCCATTTAATATATTATATATATATATATAATATATATATATATATAATATATATATATATATATATAAACGAAGAATGATCACAGCTGTCCAATTATTAATTAGTATAATGGTAAGGTTAATTGGGTTAGCAGCTGAATAATGAAAGCCAAAGTGTGCTCTTTTCAACGACTTCGCTATATTTCGTTAAATTTCTTTAACATCTTCAGACGAATGTTGTGTGAGGTTGCAGGCAAAAGTGGTATTTGAAAGTTCCATGTTGAAAAACTTTTTTGAAGATTTTTTTATAGCAAAAAAAATAAGTTGTATGTGTTATATGGTGGCTTGAAAACTCAAACAATACAAGTGCATTTTTGTTATTTTCCTCCAGTGTGATAGTACAATGTGCAAAGGTGCATAGGTGAATAGACTGGTCCAAAAAATGACAATGTGATATGTAGTTGTGTTTTAACTGTTTTGTTTCTTAAATGTTCAATGTTTTTTAATATTTGTATTGTACTATCACACTGGAGGAAAATAACAAAAATGCACTTGTATTGTTTGAGTTTTCAAGCCACCATATAACACATACAACTTATTTTTTTTGCTATAAAAAAATCTTCAAAAAAGTTTTTCAACATGGAACTTTCAAATACCACTTTTGCCTGCAACCTCACACAACATTCGTCTGAAGATGTTAAAGAAATTTAACGAAATATAGCGAAGTCGTTGAAAAGAGCACACTTTGGCTTTCATTATTCAGCTGCTAACCCAATTAACCTTACCATTATACTATATATATATATATATATATATATAATATATATATATATATATATATATATATATATATATATAATATATATATATATAATATATATATATATATATATATATATATATATATATATATATATATATATATATATTGGCTATTAGTTCCGTATATCTTTGGTCAATTCTGCTGTTAATCAAAGAACTTTTCACTGCCCAATGTTCGACACTGTCGAAAGCTTTTTCGAAATCACTATTTAGGTTGAAAAAATTTAGGACGGTACTAGCTGAGGAATAACACATCATGATACAGAAGTAAGCAGGAGCAGACACAACAGCAAAGAATATAAGAAATATATCTTGAAAATGCAGGAATCTGTTTGAAAATGAATAAATACAGAGAAAAAAGAAGAAAAATCAAAGAAAATACGTTAAATATCTTGTTCAATAGTGAGTTAACAACTTCAAAATGTTTAAATACATTCGGAGGAAATATTTCTTTTATCTTGAGTTAAAAAATGATTCAAAACTATCAAAAAAATTCTATTTTACCTTTGGCCCACTTGGAATCTTTCCTCCTGTCTACGGAAGAAGATGAGTGCGTTAAACTACTGCCTCCTCCTGAAGCGCTTGTGGCAGAAGAAGAGTCCGATTGAGGACTGCTGTCTTCCGAAGTCTCCTTGCTACTATCATCGGCGATAACCGAGGGACTTATCGGAACGTTACTCAGTAATCCCTTACTAGACAGCATCTCCATCTTCCTGAATAGTTGTTCTCTTTGCTGTGTGATGTCTTCTTGTTCGGCACGAATTTGTTCCTAAAAAAGCATTGTGGTTATTGATTGAATATTAAAAAGAGAATGAAACTTTAATAATTGTCTAGTTCATTCTGTTTACTCCAAAATTGGCGAAACTAAAAATAAACGTTTTAAAAGAAGGTATTAAAAAAAGTTGGAAAAACCAGCATGAAGCAGTATACAAGTCATTAAAAAATTGATGCTAACGAAACAGTCCTCTTTAGTTTCGGCGATTTTGCTTTTGATATTGTAGCACTTTCGTTTCACCCCGTATATCACAACAACCAAAAAAGATTCTTAATCTTTTTGCGTCTTTGAGATTGATAATCTAAACATTTTGGAGTCTGTTTATGATAAACAAATTGCTCTTTCGTTTGATCTTGGTTCAGCCTAGATAATAGCACAGGAAATAAATATGACTCTTTCCACTTAGGTTGGTGGGAAAATGTATGCTAACAAGAGAATGATTTGGAAGGATGATGTTACTTCTCGGGGAAATGCCGTGAGAAACGGTGAAAAGACGATGAATTCCCGTTCAGGCTTGGGAAAGAATGGGAAAATCTTAATTACAGTGAAGTACAACTTAAGTATAAGTACATAATACAGTAAACATCTAAACAAAGATCAAATAAAGTGATGAATTTTAATTAAGTTAAAAATTTAGAGTCAGTGTCGGCTAGAGAAAAGTAAGCCAAGTCCTATGTAAGTCTCTCAATTTAATTTAAAACTTAAAAAAAGACGCTAACTGAAGTTGAATTCCTTGATATTATCAATAATTTGTCAAAATCTGATTAAGAAGGTAAGCAATATTGATCAAGTAATACCATGTTTAGACGATAAAAATAAATTATAGATAATGATGAAAGATCTGAAGAACAAAAATCTGACACCGAAGAACAAAGTAAAGTAGGCGAAGACGAAAAACGAGACGAATTGGTTGGAGGTGCTGAAGAAGAGAAAGATAGGGCAAATATTGATCAAGTAATCATAGTTGAGCTATCTACTGCAGCACCCCAGAAGATTACTCCATATCGCATAACAGAATAAAAGTTTGCATAATATACTGATAGTAAATTTTTTTGTATTTGTTCCCCCCAAATTCAGATTCTGGTCAATATGAAGACCAAGAAATTTAACTGATCTAGCAGGTTCCGTGTTTTGTGATGGAATATTGATTGTATCTGGAAACTGTTCTCGTGATCGGCCGGTTCTAAAGTAAACAAAAACTGTCTTATCAGTATTAAGAACAACCGATTTCCTGAACCACTGTTCAGCCTTGCTTAGAGTTTGCTCTGCCACTGTGAAGGAGTGTTTCTAATGTTTTTTTTAATGTTTAAATTGATTTATTTCGTTAGAAAGCACCTGAGGATCACCCTACAAACAGAAATTACTTGATTTTTGGAATTACCTTAATCTTTTACAATTGCTAGCCATTTAGTTTATTTCGCTATTTCATTTCTTCTTTATAACAATTTTTCGAGATTGAGTGAGTAAAGAATTGTATTTGCGTTTTTTTGTCCTGTAAATACTTTATAATCAACATTATTGGTAGACAGTGTAAACAAAATATCAAGCCTAGATTTACAATGTTTTATATCATCATTTTTAAAGTACTTTTGTAATTTTTTTTATTTGCTGTATTTATGTCTTTGAGTGGAAAACATTGTATAAAAATTTCTGAATTATATTCATAAAATCATCTAACTGATTATCTACCTCTAATGTCTCAAAAATAGATACCCAGTCTACATTACCTAACATGAATTGAAAAAAAAAAAACGTTAAAAAATATTCCTTTTTTTATTATATTTGACTCAAATTTATTTAATTCAAATTTTACCTTTTGAGCAGTATGATCAGATGTATGAGAATTGAATAAAAAAGAATTAAATATGTTAAGGTTTGTAAAAATATAATAGGAGGTTTAATATCAAAGGAGCTCAAAACATTTTTAATGTGTCTGGCTATCTCGCACCCTCAAGCAGCATACCTAAGTTAAAATCACAGCCAGAAAAATGATGGAGTCGTTGTCAACTAAATCACAGATTATTTGGTCTAATTTGTTTATTAAAACTTGTAGGACTTCTGTTTGGTAGATGGATAGGATTACAATTTTCTTATCAATTTGCATCTCTGCAACGGAACACACTTTTTTTTCAAAAAAATTTGTTATTGTTGGCAAAAGTTTTTGTTAATAAATCTTTAAAAAAATCATAGACCTCAACTTCTAAGTTTTAAATTTTTATCTTTGCAAACTAAAACTCTTGACTGAAAGGGTTAATTATTAATATTTGGCAAGACTGTGTATATAAAAAATATGAAACTGCACGTTGCAACTGTTTTTAATTTAAACTAAAACAACAATTTAGAACTTACCCGAAAACGAAACATCTTTTATCCATAAACAGTGTGATATAACACCTCTCACATTGACCACCGCACAAAGATAAATAAATATGCACAGATTGCATGCTGTGTAAACAAACGGATATATAAATATTATTAAGCAGTTAGTCATATAATATAATTACCTAATTATCTGGATTCTTAATAAAAAATAGCAAGCGATAATTAATTTGCAATTCTAGTTGAACTAACCGCTCCTAATATGAACTTAACACAAGGTCGTGCAACTTTTAAATGCTTGCGTTAACAACCGTATATCTAATCGTTATTCTTGTGTGATCAATTCATCGGAAATGCGGCTAAATTAGACAAATGGTCGAAGAATACGGACACCTGAAGTTTTTTGTACTTCCAATTATATATTTTCTTTGTTATATACACATGAGGACAAGGTAAAATATTAAATCAGGTTCGGTTAATGATTCGGTTGCATGTTCAGAATAGTAGTTAAAAACAAAATTTTTATTTAAAAATCTCAATTTATCTGGTTAATCTGGATTAACCAGATTCATTAATTTTTTTCTTATTTTTAAATATGATTTATTTACATTTTTAATTAAAATACACATATTTTTCACAATTTATTTATACAATCTACAGGAACAGAATACAGGGATGGGCATAAGTCAGTTAACCAATTTGCATACCAAATAAAAAAAAACTAAACAGAAAACTAATTTATTGATTTGATTAATTATTAAAGTAATTATGGTTTTAAAGTTACTGTTTGTGTTCAAACTGCAGACCACCTTCCTCAATGCACCTATGACACCGCTTATATACGCTGTTGCAGGTTTTATCAAAGAATTCTGGGTTGTTGCGGAGTGCATCGAATTCCTCTTGAATTCTTGTTTTCAAATGTTCAATATCACGTAATGGGGTGGCGAACACTTTGTTTTTGAGTACTCCCCACAGAGCAAAATCGCATGGCGTTATGTCGGGTGACCGTGCTGGCCACTCAATTCTTCCTCTTCTTCCTATCCACATGTCAAACTCGGCATTCAGGTATTCGCGAACTGCAAGTCCGAAGTGCGGAGGAGCGCCGTCTTGTTGAAAATAGCGAATATCTGCAAACTCTGGGTTATTTTCCAAAGTACCCTTTAAATCAATAAGCAGTTCAAGATAATTTTCTGTAGGTATAGAAATAATAAATAAGACTTACTCACAATCAATTTAATTTAACTATCTGACGACCGGTTTCGCTTTCTACAATATGCAAAGCATCCTCAGGTCTCGATACAAAGTTAAACAAATGCTGAAATAATAAAAACCCATATTAGGGTGTTGTCCAATAACGATAAACAAAGTAGATGTTGTAAATTACAATAATTATGCCAATATTACATGTCTGTGGTTTTATTTAAATGAGTAAGTTGAATAAAAGGTATAAAAATTTTAAAAGTTTAAACAGACAAGGTAAGGCCCACAAATTGTTATAAAATAGTCTCTTCGATTGTAATAAATTAACAAATGAGCAAATAAATAAATAAAATAAACATTACTTACATGCCGGTACTCTATTAATTGATGGATGGTAGAACATGGTTGAAACTACTATATATTGTTGAATGGAGAACTCAATTCTATTATTGCAGTTGTTTGACAGTAAACGGGAAGTTCTTGAGGAGATAGATTTGATCCAATGAAGAAGAGATATGTGTGTGATTGTTTGTTAAATGAAAGTAATGTAATATATCATTGTGTTATTAAAAGCTATTTATACTTATTCGAGAGATAATATTTATTTAAATATATTTCGAATAAGTATAAATAGCTTTTAATAACACAATGATATATTACATTACTTTCATTTAACAAACAATCACACACATATCTCTTCTTCATTGGATCAAATCTATCTCCTCAAGAACTTCCCGTTTACTGTCAAACAACTGCAATAATAGAATTGAGTTCTCCATTCAACAATATATAGTAGTTTCAACCATGTTCTACCATCCATCAATTAATAGAGTACCGGCATGTAAGTAATGTTTATTTTATTTATTTATTTGCTCATCTGTTAATTTATTACAATCGAAGAGACTATTTTATAACAATTTGTGGGCCTTACCTTGTCTGTTTAAACTTTTAAAATTTTTATACCTTTTATTCAACTTACTCATTTAAATAAAACCACAGACATGTAATATTGGCATAATTATTGTAATTTACAACATCTACTTTGTTTATCGTTATTGGACAACACCCTAATATGGGTTTTTATTATTTCAGCATTTGTTTAACTTTGTATCGAGACCTGAGGATGCTTTGCATATTGTAGAAAGCGAAACCGGTCGTCAGATAGTTAAATTAAATTGATTGTGAGTAAGTCTTATTTATTATTTCTTTACCTATTTGAAATGGACTCACACAAGCAACACATTCATGATATAATTTTCTGTATTTACGCTGCCCTCAAAAAAATACTGACCAACTAGACCACCGGCGTGAAGTCCAGCCCACACCTGTTACTACCCACACTATACCTGCACTGCATTCTAACTGTGACTTTTATTATAGTAAGTGAATCATATTAGATTATATTATTTTTAAAACATACTCACTTGCAACCTTTGCAGTTCCGCCTTTTTCTCTTCCAGTTCTTTGGTTTCCTGTTCTTTTAAAGCGTTCCAAGCCGCTTTCTCTCCACTCAATTTATCTTGCAGGTTCCTAAGCTCTTCTAATTGTTGATTATGTCGATATTGCTTTGAATCCGCACCACCTTTCAATGTTACGTTTTGAGCTTGTAGACTAAAACAGTAACAATAATATATTTATTATATACATATAATTTAATTATTTTACGTTTTTTTTTCAGATTTTCACAATTAAGTCATTAAATGTGTTGTAATCATAACTCATCCATTCGCGTCTACTGAAAATAGTGACATAAATCTTAAAAGTGCATGCGATGTATTGTGTGAAAGTTTTTAGTAACGATAACTAACGTGGATGACTCATCACCTGTTTCGGTTACAAATTTCAAACAAGCGTACAATATATCCGCATATAGTAATGTAAACTATCAAATAAAGTTACCTTTCATTTGTTGTCATCAACTGGGAAATAATGCACAACAAGGTGTAAACGTAATGTGACAACTGAATAGCAGCCAACTGTTGCTCTCGTCCAAGTGACAATAAGGCCGGACCGTCAGGAGCCGTTGTCAAATGCTGTTGAGATTGTTGAGGGGATTCGCTATTTACATTTAAAATATTGCCATTTATTAAAGGCCCTCCTGTTATCACACAATTTCTATAAGGCAACCGTTCCTGCAAAAAAAAATATCAAGTAAGAGGAAAAAGAAAATTGACAACTTTTTGGAGTGCTGTATAGGCTTAGCAGACAGCTATTGTATTGTCCTGCCGTTACTACTACTTGTTTGCAGGCTTCAAAAGATAATCAAAAGTGTCGCTGAGGGATACTGCCCTTCGAGTCATCAGCCTAAGAAGTTTTTCTCAGTTGCTCTAACAAAAGTAGGACCCTCTGGTGTGTACATGTTAATTCCTCGGGTGTCTATTATCGCTGCTGGTGTTTGTTGGATAACTGTCGCCAGAGAGTATTTGTAAAAATGAATCTTCACCAAGGGAATCTTGTTTATTTGTCTATGAAAATTATCACCAGAACATAATTAGTGATTGATTGTAGGGCAATTCCATAAGTAAATCCTGACAACGAGGAAACAGGTAATTACCTCACAAAACACCGTAGTTTTATCAGTAAGTAAGACAAAAATAAAATAGCAATGCTAGATTAGCAAAATGTCAAATATCAAACGACAAAAAAGCAGTGGGTGTATGGACACCAAACCTAGTGTTCAAATGAGAGTACTGTTTTCTGACTGGAAATTAATCGTCTATTATTCTCAAGAATGTACTTCTATAATCACTTTTATTTACCTTAGTTATATACCTACAGATTGTTTATTACCTTGTCATTCATTTTCTTATTCTACGGTCTCTGTAGGGCATGCAAATTGGCCGAATCCTCTTTTGAGTGTCAAGTCCACACATTTTTTGTTACAGTCCGATGAGAAGGAAAAGAAATATTTGGATCAAATGAGATAAAGTGTTCTACAAACTGTCATATAATTGTAAGAGAAACTTTAGAATTCTGGGTATTGACTTAAAAGAGAGCTACTAAAAGTTGTTTTATTAATAAAGCCCGTGACCTATTGAGGGAAGTGTTGATCTATATTTTAATGTATATACTTACAAATAGTCTTGAATCACCAGGTTTGAGATTCTCAAAGTCGGGAGTACCAGCGGGTGTTCCGGACGTTGAAAGTTTCTTCCCCAGCAGTTTAAAGGGACCCTGGTTGTTGTCGAAACCGCCAAACGTTTCTGCCCGTTTCGGCAGTATTGGTGAGACGTAGGTTTCGCTTTGGTGTTCACCTGCAGAGCTGACACTTCTTGAAAGATTCGTGCCTGTCGTGTACAATGAACTCGCCAATTGACTTACTTCCTGCAAATAGACCAAGAAATCTTTTATATCAGGTACAAATTATGTTTACAAGCACAGGCTAATTTGAAATGGACCAAAAGCTTATTTGATACTATGTGGTTTTAACAAAATAATACTTTTATCAACTAAGGTAATAATAAAATAATGGAAAAGAAAATGTGACATTTATGTTTAATTTAAATTAAATTAAACGAAATATTAATAATGTAAAGTAAAAACTTGCCTGCACAGCCGTTAGGACTACCTTCCACATCTGACCAGCATCAGCATTTTCGCTAACCAAATGCCTATAAGAGGGTGGCGAAGGCGGTTCTAATCCTGCTGCAGCCAACAGTCGCAGCTGTAGTGACATCTTTTCTTCTAATAATAAAGCTTGCTCTATATCTTTCTGCCGTAGTTGTCCTAAAATCAACTCTTTAATTAAAGCGAGTCAAGTAATCCGATTAAGGGTTGTTTTATGGAAGAAGGAAATATTTATAATCGCAGGGAAGTTTGTTTTTAATGTAAAACATGCAGGTCTAAATGCACATACATGATTAAGTGTACACAGAGCGAATGTAGTGTTGTCTGAAGGTATTTATTATTTAAATGTAGTAGTAGTTTTATAGATTCTAGTATTTACGTCTTACGAAAATTTTTATTTTTCTACACTGACATCGTTAAGTGTCTCATTCGTTGATCATTTTCAAAATTTTCGTTGCAAAGTGAACCCAAATATAAAACACACATACAACTTGGCAAATTTCACTTTGTCTCTAAGATGTACAAAGAAAGACTGGTAAAACCCCAAAAAAAAATCAAGGATGAAAATTTGGGAATAGATAGTTTGTTTATTATTAAAAAAAGTTTACAATCCTAAAGTATCTCCATTTTGCAAAACTTTTCATATATTTTGCTGTATTTCGTAAAATAAGGGGAATTTTTTTTTTAGAAAACTATTATCGTTTTTTTTTGTATGTTCGTTTAGTGCTCCTTTGTAGGCTTGGCACCGTTGTGCCAAAGGTGTACCGTTATCGGATTTTCAATATTCCGATTTTTTTATATACCTATTAACTTTTTTACATCAAACATACATTTTAACCTCAGGAGGTAAAATCACTGTATTTGGTATCATTTTAGAGCCAATAGATATTGCCGATGTTAATACTTAAAATAGTACATGTCTCGATACATAAATATCGATCGGTTTGGTTCAAATAATGACTTTGAAACTACCTGCCGGCTAGTTGTGGTCAACAGGTTTTTTTATATTCGTGTACCTTAGGAATGTAAACCTTTTTTTATTTATTAAATAATAGACACTTTTATCTACCAATTCCCAAATGTTCATCCTTGATTAATTTTTTTTTGGTCATAGTGTATTTGATCGAGCTATTTATAGAATATTGGTGACAGATTTTAATAGTGTAATATGTAATTAGTTCTGTAATAATTATACACTAAGAAAAATATTTAACCATCGTCATACATGTTAAACATAAACTCATTAGTAAATAAATAAAAATATAGAAACATGCATAATCATGCAAAATAATGGTCTGTTGATATATTTAATCCCTTAATTCAAGAGATAACAAGTGTATCAAACTGGCTGTCTAGGTTGAAATAAATGAAAATAAAAAACTTAAAGAGTTGGAACAATATGGAAAACTTTTTTTATCAATTTTGGGAAATTTCAATTAGTTTATCTTTCCTCTTCGTTTCAAATGTCTAATTCGTTTAAAGGTTTTTAAAACCCCGCCTATTGTGACGTCAGAGCTTAGGTAGTCCATTAAAATTATGAAGTATTTTTTATAGATGTCAAACCGCATTGACAGTTTTAAAAATTTCTTAGGACTTAGTCCAATAACACAAATGTTTGAAAATAGGAGAAAATCGACACTTTCTTCTTAATTTATTTTAAAGAGAAGAAAAACGATGGACTTTTATTACAATTTAGGTAAGTTGATTTTCTGTTTTTTATGTTTTACCAATTATATTCACGTTATAAATAGTTTATAATCTCGGTTTGATGTTCTGATAAAGAAAATAAATCTTTATGAAGTTTAACAAATATAAAGAGAGTGCATTTTTTTTACCAAAAAGGCCCTTCACAATTTTGACCCAATTTTATCAGTGTTTTTATTAATTAGTTAGTCAGGACTATAAATATTGTTTGTACTTATATTTCAAACTAATTACTATTGATTTATTTTAATTTAGAAAATATATTCGTCTCTAACATCGGTAATTTGATTGACAGTTTCATCTTACAGTAGTGGTTTTCAATATCAAATCTCCCAAAAAGGGTAAAACGACTTTAATTCGCATTATTTTATTTTGTTAAATATGACGAAAGAGCACAACACAATAACAACTCACCAAACAGCAGCTACGTCTCGATTACATAAGGCCTTACTAACTTTTTACTCCAGTTGCAAACATTAACGTACCTAATGATGATATAAAACACAGAAAAAGAAATTAACCTCAACGGCGAAAGTGAAACAGCGTGAGAAGATAAGGATATAAATGTATATACGGTTGCATTTCTGTTCAATTCGAGTCTCACCATTCTCCTATACGTATTTCGTGGTCTACCACTTATCAGGGAGACGTGTGAAGACTAAACTGAACTGAAACACAGTGTCTAGCTGACAATTATGGTAACATAATAGTGACCTCTATATGAGAAAAATATGAAGTCAGGAAACTTCTCATAGATAGCAATTTAAGGAACCTATAAATCCAAGATTATTAAAAATCTTAAAGGCTTTTTCTCAAGGAAATCCTTATCAGGTTTCGTACAGTGTTTTGTAAAAATAAATTAAAAAAAAAACATTTTTATCTGCCGATTTCTACTCCTTTGAAGAATCTAATTTTAAATATTCTATGTGTGTAAAACTTTTAAATCTAGATTTTGTTGAACAATTATAACTTAATGGTCATAACAAAAAAGCGGCATTCGATATAAGAATTAAATTCGTAAAAACCTCAAAATATTGACTGTTTTACTACGACAAAAATTAAAAACATGAAAATTTCGTAAAAAAAAACAACTAAGTATACAACATATGTAATCATAGGAAAAAAACGCATCTCACAAAAAAAAATTAAAAAATTGTATAAAAGGAACTGATCCTAAATAAGAAAATGGTAATTGCATGCATTTTCTCTTAGTAAAAGTTACCTTCGAGGTCCGATTCTGCTTCTGTAGGAGCAACAGACCAATACAAAAATATTTACACTAACAGATTGGAATTAAGAGAGAGATTTGTGTTTAGTATGAAGTAATAGAGTAGGTCTACGTCTAGTTCGGCGAAAATATATGTTCTGCATGCCTCGTGTGTGGTTTGTACAATTAATCGGTGATTAGAAAACAAAAAAAATTATCGTAGAATATAAATCATAGTAAGTTAATAAAGGGATTACATAGGTGAAAGTATAGTACTTCAAGAGTATTCACACGAAATTTAAAGTAAATTGGAGCAATATTACCGGATAGATATTTGAATAGCGTGCCTTCGGTACGTGCGCTCGCAGTTAAACATAAAATACTTCAAACGCGTTTTTCTCGAACTTTATTCTTTCGTGCGGTAGGCATAATTTCTCGAGAACGAATCGACTGATTTTACCGAAACTTTAAACAATTGATGTTTATAGGATTGTTTCGTGATTGAACGAAGGGATTTTCAATCAGTCGACTCGTTGTGGTTTTATAGGAAAAAAATGTTTTAAAAGCGATTAAAATGCTAAAAATATGAGACGAAAATTCATTCAAACTTATTTAAAAATTTTAGACCTTTTATTCAATCAATATTTGGGAAAAAATGGTAAATTTCCAGACCCTGACCAAATATCCTTAGTCTGGCTCAAACTTCTAGATGACGAAAATGTCTCAGAACTAACAAACACTTATAACTACATATACGAAACTGAAATAATGCCACAAATATAGTTTTAGTCTACATTTATCCCACTCACTTCTTTTTCTTCTTCTTAGAGTACCTGTCCGTTCCGAACGTTGGCGATCATTCTGACTATGATGACTTTGTTGGTTGCTATATGGAATAGCTGTATTGAGCTCTTTCTATATCATGCTCTCAGGTTAGCAAGCCAGGATATTCTTCTTCGTCCTTGGACTCTTTTTCCTTCAATTTTCCTTCTGATCTCAATCCTGAGAGTCGCTCAGATCTGCCTTGATTTCAGATGATCAGAACCAGGTCATGGTTCTTGAACACAGAGCTCATAGTCGAGAATGCATTTTTTGCCTTTCCGATGCGACATTTAATTTCTTGGGTATGTCCCACGACCCATTAATTATAGTTCCAAAGTAGTTGTACTGTGAGACACTTCTCATTTGGATCACATACAGATTTGCTGCAGTTATGTTTTTCTTGCTGATGATCATTAGGTTGGTTTTGCTGGTGTTTATATCCAGTCTCTATGTTTAACATGTTCCCGTTATTTTGTTTATTAAGTTTTGCAGCCCTTCTATGGTATTGGAAAACACTATCGTATCACCTGCAATCCCTGGCTTCTGCAGCATTTCCATCGTTTGTTTATGCCTGACTCTGTCGAAAACCTTCTTGTAATCAATCAGGCATAAAAAAACATTACAGCTAACATATCTACAATTCTGAAACAATACCTGCATGCTAAATAAAGCTTCCCTCGTACCAACGTCGTTCACAAATCCAAACTGATTGGGGGCAATTTGTTCCCCGCATTTCCGGTAAATTCTTTTGTGGGTGACTTTTAAAAACAGCTTCAGCAGATGGCTCATTAGGCTTATGGTCCTATAGTCTTCACAAACTTTTGCTCCTGGTTTTTTGGCAATGGTACGAACTCCGATTTAAGCCACTCTACTGGTAATTTTCTTCAATGGTGGGTTCTTGTATTGTTCTAAGGTCGTGGAAAAGATTCTCCAAGTATTCTTCCCATACTCTCTTTTTATCTTCCTTGGTTATAGGAAGATTGCCTTCATCATCTGTTATTTTTCCGCTGTTGCGTTTTCGAAATTTTCCAGTTATTTCCTTCACTATGATACTCATATTATTTCTTGACATTGTTCTGTTTTTTGTTTCTCTTTGGCTTCTCTTATCTTTCTTCTGACGATGGTATGTATTCTCTTATATTCTTGGAGATTTTCTTTGTTTTTTTCTCTGATCCATAAGCTCAAGTCATCCACGATTTCTCTGTATCTTTCTTCAATTATTGTTCTTTTATTTTTCTCACTGTTTCTTGTATGATGGTCAGACTTTCCTCTATAGTTCCTGCATTTCTTACTTGTAACCTTCTTCATTCAGACTTTGAAATTACCTACAACTTTTATATTATCAGAATTTATGTCTGCCCCCGGGTATGATTAGATTAGATTAAGAGAGGTGGCCTTTCGGCCTATTCCACTGCGACCTTTTCAGATCTATTGTGGTCCTCTAGTCCTAGATAACATTCTCTAGCCTGACCCTCTTTATAAAGTCTAGTAGCTTCGAGACTGTACCTTCCATGTAGCTGTTTGCCGGTGGATTTTCTTCTCCTAATGCAAAAAACCGCACATTTGCCAGACTGTCACACTGACATAAAATGTGCTCTGCTGTTTCTTCTTCGAGGTGACAGAATCTGCACAGGTCATCATCTGATAATCCCATTAGCTTCAAGTGCCTATTCAGCTTACAGTGCCCTGTTAGAAGACCTACTATGGCTTTGACTGTTTTCCTGTCTTTGCTAATTAGGTCTGCCGTAAATTTTGGCGAATGTTCTGTAATGAACTGTTTCGCCTGTCTTTGTCCTGGTGAATTCCTCCACCATTCCAGAGATTTGTGAGCTACCCACTCCTTTGTAGCCGTTCTTGTTACTGACTTTGCAACGCCGCAGAAGGGTTCCGGTCCAATGAATGGCATTGATGAGCCTTGTTTGGCCATTTCATCTGCTTTTTCATTGCCCTTATGACCCTCGTGCCCCGGTACCCAGGCTACCGTAACCTTGCTACGGTCTCCTAGTTTATTTAGGGCACACACGCAATCCCATACTAGCTTAGAATTGACCTCTACAGAATTGAGTGCCTTAAGCGCTGCCTGACTATCTGTGAAGATGGCAACTGAACAGAACGTTCTTTCCTGCCTTTCTATTTCTTCCACACAGTGACGGATTGCAATTATTTCCGCCTGGAAAACTGTCACATCCTTAGATAGACTTACCGGGAAATGTATCCCTTGATTTGTCCCTGCCCCCGGGTATGTTCTCATTTATTAGCGTTTAATCAATCTGATTTCTAACAATCTTTCCCACAGAAAAACTAATGCCACTTCCAAAAATAATACTTTATTCATCATGTAAAGACTTATTAGACTAATGAGTCTTAATGAGTCACTCTCTTAAATTGCTTCTCTAGATACTTTTTAATATAATTAAGCAGAAATGTGACGAAACAATGGGAAACAAATAATTCGGTTTTAGAGAAGGATTGAGAACAACGGAAGCTCAATTATCAATGCTAACATTACTTCAAAGGCCATGGGAAGTACAGAAACCAATTTACTTCTGCTCCATAGATTTTGAAAAAGCGTTTGATATGTTCAACATGATAGGCTGTTTGAGTATCTAGAAACGATTGGGATAGATGATAAAAATCTGAGACTATACGGATCAATATATGTATAGTTAGGTAAGCGGTCAGGAGAATAGTATGGATATACCGAGAACTCAATAACCTGGCGGAACAGGTATACAGATAACAGTATCATATGAACTGAAATATTGACAATAAGTCAATTGGCTGCAGTAAAACCAGTTATAACAGGTAGCTTCCGAGAAAAAAGACATTATGTAAGAATAAAGGGATCAAAGTTAAACTTGTGGATGAGTAGGATTTTATTAAAATGGGAACGTTTATCTAAGGTTTTCTGTTTCAGAAATAAATATTCAGACGAATAAGAGAATTAATAACAGAATTGTTTTGAGTTAGTTGGATCAATTACTCGTAAACTGTATCGACCAACGAATGACCAACATATTGACACACGGAAAGGCCGATTGTTTTCTACGACCATTGTAAATCTTATACTTGGATGTTGTACATATATTCAGATGATCGTGAAAAGTAAGACGTCAAGTCAGATGATATAAAGAATCATCAACATATCAGAGCCAAACTTTTGGTTCAAGGAAACATCATTCCAGAGCTGAGAACTGCTATCAACTATATAATGACCGTACAGAGAGCTTTTTAAATAGATTTACCTTTCATTTCTGCACACGATGAGTAATTTGAACACTTGCAGTATTCTAACAGCCAACCGCTGCTTACGAAGAAGCTACTTACAAGTGTAGCTAATCGTTTTAACGATTGAAGCAAAAAGATCCATAAACTGGTCATTCAAAAACACACGGTCCAAACTTGGAAGACGAATAATTAGTCAAATTTGTCTTTCCAACACCATGCTAGATTTATTGTATTATCTAGGGATAGAATATATTTATAATTTGCATGAATACGGTCGTGGTCAAAAGATATCAATAAATCTAAGCTTTAGTTGTTGAAATTGTCAAATGTGAATACATTACATATTTGGAGATGTAATGAAACCTAAAATATTTATTTTTTTGTTTTCCATTCACTGAATTCATAGAATATTTGACAAAGTTTAAACTGTACTTACCAATTAATTGACGCACTTGGTTTTGTTTAGCATTCATCAGAGTTTGTTTTTCTTCGGAACTAAGAGCTATGGTATCCTCTTCATCCTCAGGGCATGACTGTACTGCTTCCCTATAAATCATTAAATTGTTAATTTATTATACAGGTCTGCAAAAATTTTTTTAAAGTTGTTTTGATAATTTTAACGGATTTTTATGGTGTAGCGTTTTTTATTTAAAGTGTATAGAAAAGATTTCTGTGTTACGCTCCTGTTGTTTTTACCAAAGAAAACAATCGAAATAATATTTCAAGTTTTTTTTGACGAGATTTTTAAATGCGTATTAACGCTGGAAATATGTGTTTATCTCTGTGTTGCAATGTTAGGTAAAATAACAAGTTTTTTGTCGCCAAAGAGGTATTATGTTAAAACGCAATAAACCATGAATTCCCCTAATATTAAAGTTGTTTTTCGTTATTAGTCGAGGGTCAAAAAAAGAATATTTGTTTGTTTAGGCAATAAAGGAACATTTAAAATTTGTTTTTTTGTCGATAAGAGGAGGGAATATTTTGTTTTGGTTTTAAGTGGGTCGGCGACAGGCTGTAAGACGGAAGGGAAATTTTTGGCTAGATTCTTGAAAAATGTAACGAAGCAAAAGGGGAGTCGACTGAGAGATTTCAAATAGGGCAGCTAGAGTGGACAGACGTATTAGTTATGTAGTTTGCAAAAGTCGACAAATTTTGTTAAATAGTGGAACAATTACTCTCTGTAATATGACAGATTTAGAAAAGGGTAGCCACTAAATATTTAAAGGAGTTGTGCAGATACCAGAATATGGAAGATATTTAAAGCAGTATATAGGGTGTGCCCACTATGTGCAATTGATTTGGTTCCAACCTCAATCTTATTTGTCTCTGGTCGTTTTTCCAGTCCAGTTTGAAGCAGTTCTTTTGTATAGTATGAGGTCCCAGTAAATTCCCATTAAATTCCCAGAAGTACCAGTGCAAAATTGTATGTGATTTGAATAAAGGTAACATTTTGTGTTAATAGTACCTAAAATAGACATTTTTTTTTAATAACAATAATTGCTTTCATAACAAATAAAAAATTGTAATATGTATGGTTATGCTGTTAATACTTTCATTCTTTGTCATCAAAATTAAATGTGATACCTGACAGCAAACTTAATTTGTTTTTTTGTTATGACAATTTTAATTTGATTATTATGTAGAAACGATATTTCATATATAAGGTTAAATTTATATGTTTTCATTAAGAAGGATCCTTAATTTTTGATAATCTAATTGGCCATAATATAGTAAACAAAGAACATGTAAGTTTTTATTTGTATTATGTTATATGAATGTTTCTTTTATAATATGTATTTTTGATCTGTTTTGTTTGAGACAAGAATAAACGTTCAATTTGTTTCTCTGATCTATTTTGAGTTTTATTTGAAAAAGATATTTTTTTCTATATTTTTGATGTTATACAATTATTTCCCTAGTTACAACTAGTGGTTGTAATAGGTATAATTGGGCACCTCAAGTGGCGCCCTATATTAAATTTCTTGAGGTGTTTCCGTTTATTTTCATTCTGTTTGTCCAATAGATTCGTATAAGTACCTTTTATTTCTTTTTTTTGTAGTTGACCCAATCTAACCCCGATATCTTCAACTTATCCACGACCCAGCTCTCCAACAACCAACTGAGTATCGTATGCACTTGTTTCGATTATTTTGTTTGCCCAATCTTGTCCCCCATATTCTTACCCTGTGGTAAGCAAAATAGTCGTTACAATGGTTTGTGATAAACTGAATGCAAAAAATCTCGTTTTGCCGTAACACGTTAGATTTTTTCACAAATTGGGTATATATTGTTTCCAATTTAAGAAAGTAAAAAGTAAGTGAATTAATGAGCTAATGAGATAGAATTTAAATGAGCTTGTGAATTTAGGTAAAATATTTAGTGCGAGGCTCCTCTCGATACATTTTGGCTTATAAATTATATCGGGAATGTATCACTGTAGCATCCAGCAGTAGTTTGCTATAATTCTTGTGCATATCGCACTAATAATACAATAGTGTCGCAACTCAAAATGTTTCTAAATTGACATAACACTATATTCACATGTAAAATTCAATTCCCTATAGGTCAATAAAACTGTCGTTTTAATAGTGCAATAAATGAATAAGAGATGGCGCCATAAGACGTTATTCAGGACTGACCGACTGTGTCACCCCCTCACAATATCGCGTTATCTTTAGTTGCGACCAATAGTGATCGAGAACGCACGTGTTACTTTGCCAATCATTTCGAGTTTTCACGGTATTGCTGAATCAGGTATGTAATTTCCATAGCTATATTTTGAGTTATTACATTCTTTTTGATTTGAACCTAACCAAAACATTGTTGTTTTTCTAGTTATTACACTATTACTGATTTACACCAGCACTTTTTAAATTAATATTTTTAGTAACGACACAATTATTGGTTGAGTTCATTATTTTTGACATGCTACATTATTGTTGAGTCATCACTTTAAATCATTTTTATTGTTGTTTGTAAAACATTTATTAATGATTATCTATTTTAATTGATATGAGGTTGAATGCTCGAATAAATGAACTTTGAAAAATAAGGCAATTATCGAGCACAAGTTTAATTAAATCTTGCCCAAGTACTTTCGCTTAAAATAGCATCTTCAGGGGCATTTCGTCAAATGACGAAATTTTGTTTAGAGCAATACAGTGTTAACTCAAAATTTTTAAATAACTTCACTGTCAGTAGTTTTTATTTAACTAAGAGTACAAAGAAACTTCTTTTAATATTAATTAGAAACATATGCATTAATTTTTTCTTAACTGCAATAGGAAATTATTAATGAGTTTTTCGTTGATTCTGAAAAATCATCCTTTTTGAGATACGACACTATTGTATTATTAGTGCGATAAGTGCATATTTTCCTTAATTTCTCCATTTCTCCATTGATATTTCAATTTTTCAATTTCCATCTCCTTGATATTCTGATGAAAAGATTCTCTTCGTTCTTTACTCACCGTCTCAAATTCTCAAAAAAATAGTCCAGGTACGGGTGGAGAGAAAATGTACTTTTAGGCTCATAAGAAAACCTAAGTCTTGAAACCACAATTCTATAATCAGAATCTTAATTGTTGCCCAAAAATTTTCTCAACATCATCCTTTAATGCGAACCATCCTTCTCTCTAGAGATATATCATTGTGTTTGAAGTTTTCTGATATCGGCTCCAACAAATCTTCCTTCCTTCAATTTCGAGACCTCCGAGAGACCTGGAAACTTTTTAACAAAGTATTTGAAATATTCCTCGTCTTTTTAGAGAGATGTAATGAACTGTTTCATAAGGCCTAGTTTTATTTCGAAGGAGAACCTTTTCTGGTGGTATTCAATTTTCTTCCAGAACATTGTTTGGTCCAACTCTAAACGTCCGTGGCTCCAAACTCTCCATTAACCAGTGATTCTTTCGGTGCCATAGATAAAAAAGAACAGGAAATTTGATGTAACCAGCTGTTACAGAAATAGCATACCATATATGACATAGATGATGTTCCAATTTAAGTTTTTGAAGAATCATTGTTAAGTTCTCATAGGTCTACTTCAAGAACACAGAATGTTCAACATAAATAGAAGCACATAAACGACCGTTATGGAGTAAAACTGCTTTTAAGCTGTGCTTCAATGAGTCGATTAAGAGACACCATTCAGTGGTTAATTTAAAATCCAGTATCTGTCAATATCTTTAATGCCGCTACAGTAAACTAGATTTCCTTCCTGGGTTAATGAAGGTACAAAATGCTTTTCACGATATACGAATCAAGAAAAAGGCATTTCGAGTAGTAATAAATTTGTACTCTTCAATCGGGATCCAAGCAAGTCAGCAGCGTCTTTGGAAAGATCTCTCGCCAAATCATTTCATCTTCATCTCTTATTGGGAAATAATTTTGGTCTAGTATCATTTTCAAAGTAAGAGTTTAAGTCCTTGTCGTTCTGATATTGTGCTTCACCTTCACTTAAGTATAGTACTTTTTTTAAAGTAGCAGGTGTTTCTGTATCATGAGGAAGAAGACGAATAGCTGAAGGAGATTTGAATACGAAATGAAATGGTTTGATTTTGAGTTTCAACACTATGGCATCACACGAGCAGAAGTAGCAGCCGTCACTATAATTCCTTTGTGTTATTACCTGTGTTATTAATATAGCTCTAAAACAATTTTCTTGTGACTTTTATATAGTATCTACTATAATTAACGGTAATAAAGTAGAATTTTATTTAAATTTGGAAACAACAATTTTTGAGATAGAACTCTAAACGTCAAATAAAAGCTATTTCTACTTAAATTTCGAGTTAATTCCCATAGATATAGCTATTACCTTATTGCGTTTATCCATACTTGTTTGTCTTTGGGTTTATGAACTTTCAGCTCGAACATTTCTGGATCGGCAGGGTCTGACGAAATCAAATAGATTCCTCTCGAATCTTGACCAGCTATTTCTCTCACCAATAATTTTTGCAACGAAACTACACCTGTCTAAAATAATAAAACAATACATTTTTTTAATACGGAGAAGGTTAAGACGGTTTTGTTTTGTTGAAATCGGAAAATGATACAGTCAAATTATTTTTTGTATAATTTTTTCATATTTCATATAGCAGGTTATAAATATCTAAACGATATAAAAATTTTTCTTAAATAAAACTGTCAGTTACAAGTTACATATTCATCAACTAGCCTGTATTTGTCCACTGTTGAACGTAAGGGCTTCCGTAAAATTTTCCACCACATCTATCATCCGTCAGTCTGGCAACATGTCCGGCCTAAACCCATTTAGCCATGGATATTTTGTTCAACTGCATCCGTGACTCCTGTTCTTCTTCTTATTTCTTCTATTATAATTCTTCTATATATGTGTTTGGAGACTATAACTAGCTCTCAGCTTTGTGGTAGATAGCAAGTTATAGTGTTTGCAGATATTCAGTGCCCGAATGGCTACCCAATCAAAATTTTGTGAAATAAGAGTTGAAACTGCTCTACCAGGTACCGCCCTCTGAAAGGTGTGAAAGTCGTCTACAGACAATTCCGAGTTCCACTATCGAAAAGATTAAAACATATGTGCACTTTTGTAAAGATTTAGTCTACTGGCAAGGATCGATCCCACCTTAAACCGATAATCTCATTGGAAATAAGTGTGATAATAATCGTGCGATAATGTAGCGAACTATGATTACCTACGATCTAACGGTTCCTCTCGTACTGCAAGAGGAGTATATCACAACGACGAGTTGTAGTATGAACAAGAAGAAAATAGGGCGGGGACCCAGAAGGTGATCGTGAAAGGAGGCGGAAAATCTTACGCCGAGTTGCTGAAACAAATAAAGGGTAGCGTAGACACGAAGAAGGAGGGGATTAATGTCAAAAGAGCTAAAAAGACCAGGGGGGAGATCTCATCCTTGAAGTAGCAGGGAAAGAACAATCCGAGCGCCTGAAGAAGACTATTGTGGCCCCTACGGAGGGAAACACGGTAAAGGACGACCGGGGTTAGCAGGTTCAGGTGGACATATTTGACATAAACGGAGATGTCAAAAAGAAAGAAATTCTGAGGCAAGTTCGGAGATATACCGGCAGCAAGGAGCCTAATGACGTCAAACTCGTCTCTTTAAGCACTGGAAAAAGAACACATACCCAACGGCTGGAACTCATGCAAGATACGAGAGAGACTGCATATTCAGCGGTGCTTTAGATGTCTGCAGTTCGGGCATAGTAAAATCGACTGTAAGGGAGAAAACAGATCGGACTGCTGTTACAGATGTGGCAAAGAGGGTCATCAGGCACGAGAATGCAGTAATCAGGAGGCTTTTTGCCTCACTTGTAAAGAATCCGGGCACAAAGCCGACAGCTTACGATGCCCGGAGTATGGAAAACTCATCCTGGTAAAACGGAAGGTCAAAAGAGACTCTATCAAAAGGGAGGAGGAAAGAGCGGGTGAAAGCACTTAAGACCAGGAATCAGACAGCGTACGGGTAAGTAAGTTAAAGAGATAAGAACCATTTATTACGAAGTTTCTACAAATAAATGTGGGAAGGTCGAGGGCTGCTCACGACGTTGCAGAGGCACTTGCACGAAGGGAAGGTTATGACATGGTCCTATTTCAGGAGCCCAACGTAAAGTTGGTCTCTCGACAGGGGATCATTAAAGATAGGAAATCTGACGTAGCCGTATACGTAGTGAATCGAGGAGTTGGCATTACAGACACTCCGTTAAAAATGGTTATGTTAAGGTATATGTCAGAAGCCTGGTAGTGTATAATTGCTATGTTTCACTAAACATCCCGCTTCGAGTATATGAAGAGTACATTGACTCAATTATGCAAGAGGCTAGGATAAAGACTGTACAGGTCGTCATAGCTGGTGACCTGAATGCGAAGGATCGTCCATGGAATCCACGAGTGCAAGACGGGAGAGGGAAATACCTATCAGAATGGATCCACGCCGTGGGGCTTAGAGTGTTAAATGACGGTAAGGCACCTACATTCGTGAGAGGTAATAGTGAATCCTTTCTGGACATCTCACTGGCTTCAACGACATTTCTAAGCAGGGTCATAAGCTGGACTGTTTTGGAAGAAGAATCGCTCAACTTACACAAGTACGTGAGTTTTGAAATAGCTAGCAAAAGACAGAAACGTAAAAATGGGGATATCAATCTAAAGAGATGTTTAAATGAGAAAGTTTTTGTAGATGCTTTTGGCTTGATTGGTCCGGAATGTGAGGATGTGTGTGAGCAGCTTGAAAATCTGAGGACAAACTGCATAAGAGTAAGAAGGGAATGTAAGAGGTTAAGAAGAATACAAGCAGGAAATTTGGAAAAGAGAATAAATGAATGAAAGCGAATGCAGAATGAATGCAAGAATGAGATAGGAACATCTAAGAAAGAAAGGTGGAGTAACCTGTTTCAGGATCTCGAAAGGATATCTGGGGGCAGGCCTTCAAGATTGTCTGTACCGAATTGAAGGGAAAAAAGACACCCTACCCCCTGTCTGAGGAGGAGAAACTGGAGTTTTCCAGTCGGTGGTAACCTACGCTGCCCCCGTGTGGTGTAGCGTACTAAACACTGCGAAATACGCTAGGATGATGGAGACTTCGCAAAGGTGAATGATCCTTAGGGTATCTAGCGCATATAGGACAGTTTCAAATGAGACTCTATATGTTATTCGGCGGGGATACCGATCGTTTTGTTGTGCAAAGAGCGAGCGAGGATGTATGCGATGAGGATGTAGGTAATTATAGATGAAAATGAGAGAAAAAGAACGATAGTAGAGTGGCAGAGAGAATGAGCGAATGATAGTGGAAATACAAGGTGGACGAAAGAGTCACAGATGTCTGTATGCAGATTTTCCTTCTTCTCTTTAAAGACGTAAAAAGAGTAGGATAAAACTAACATGACGGTTTAATGAGTCTGTAGTGTAATTTAAAATCTGTGACTCTCCTAGTAATAAAACACAGTTCTTAGACCATAATATCTTGGTATCTAACTAGAATCTATGTGTTGTAAATGTTGTTATTTACTTCCCATTATACACAAAATTATAATTTAAATAGATTTCCATAAATAACTTAATAACCATAGATATCTTGAATATTATTATGTACTTATACATACAAAATGTCAATATTATCAAATAGTTATTGCACAAAGCAAGTAAAAATATCTAAAAACATTCCTACATGAAAATTTCAAAACATTTCAATAATTATAAACAAAATAATTTAACTGTTTTCCATAGTAGAAGAGAAAGATCATAGAAATACTCACTTTACTTACTGGAGTGAAAAACGTATATTTATGCGAATTTTCTTGCAAGAAAAACAGAACGTCAGATAAAACTATAACTAAAACAACTTGCATCTTTCCTCTGCCTTGCATTAACATCGCCACCCCTTCGAATTTAAGAGAACGATTGCCTTGTAGTATATCCGATTTTCTAAACTTCTGCCCTCGGTACACGGTGTTAGATTTGGCGTCGATCCTATTATAGATTTCTAATTTGCGATCTTCTTTCTCTTTCTCAGCCACTTGAGCATCGACTTCTACCAAAATTTCTTTCACTAATGCCAATGCTTTTTGTAGTGCTTCTTGTTCAGGTTTGTTATCTTTGCTAGTTTTTATCAGGGGCTCGATCAGAAGTGGGTACTTCGTAAGACGTTGCGTCACGAATAAAATGCACTCAGGGATTCCCTTCTTTTTGAGAAGAGGATTCGTTTGACAGTGCCTTACGAATTCGCCGAACCTTTGATCGTTTTGTAGGTAATATTTGTATATTTCCACAGCGTCTCTGTGCCTGCTACAGAATTCACCTGAAAATAAAATATGAAATATTTAGACTATTTACTGAAAAATTTTAATTTATAATAAGCGAGCAAAAAGTTTTGTTATTGAGTGTAAATTAAAAAAAAATCTTTAAAATTACCAACAGTGGCACCAAAGCATTGCCAAATAAAGTTTTTATCACTGATAAGGAGACAAGGTCCGATGGGTCGACTAGCCTTTGGCTTCTTTCCACACTGCTAATTACAAAGTGAAAAGTGATTAGGAAGTCAAAAAATATATAAATTGTTTGTCAGGACAAAACGAACAAATTTGAAATTAAATCTAAATTTAAGTTCTCAACTGAATTTATATTGAGCAGCCTCTTGACGTAATTCCCAATAAAAATCAAGTAATGGTGTTAAGTAAGTACAGAAATTGGTAATTAAAATACAATAAATACATATAAAAACGAAACGGAAAGCGAGGTAGAAACCGACGAAGAGAATAAACGAAAGAGAGGAGAACAAGATTACTGCTTTGGAAGAAGCAAAAAAAACGAAGTGAACTGAGGGAAATAAGCAAGAGAATCAGAAATTGAAAACAGAAGTAAAGCAAATGCAGGAAAAAGTCGAACACACAGAGAAATGCAATAAGAAAAAACGCCTTTATAGGAGTTTTACCTAGAGAACTGCAAGTAAAAGTGAAATTAAGGAATGCCACAAAGATTGGGGAGAATCTCTGCGTTATAGAAACGAAAACCTCTAAAAATCATACGAACAAGCTGAATTTTGCCGAGAATATCAATTTTCATCATCATCAATGGTGCTACAGCACTATGAAAGAGCCTCGACCTTCCCAAGTCTATTACGCCAGGCAGTCCTATCCATTGCCAACCGTTGCCAGTTTGCTGCGCCTATCTTTCTACCATCCTCATCTACACCATCCTTCCATCTGAGTTTTGGCCTACCCCTTTTTCTACTTCCCACGGGTTGTGACATAAGGATTATTCTAGGAGGGTTGTTTTGCTGTGATCTTGCTAGATATCCATCTTAGTCTTCCTATTCTTATAAGAGATACTACGTCTTTAATCATCTAGTTATAGTAAGTTCTCCAACACCCCTTATCAGTTAGGTCTTATGGGATGACCTGTTGAGTCTTCTTCCGACTAAAGACGGCTGGTAAAGTTGTTTTATTGTGAGATTACCGTGGTTTGCTGAGTAAGAAAAAAAACCTACCTAAATTGAAGGTGAGAATCATCCAATGAAGATGGACAAAAAAAGAGGTGGATTAATGAGGATAAAGAGAGGAAAACAGAATGACAATTCTCCTATAGAAAGTTAAAAGAAATTTAGTAGGCCAATTATAAAAGGCCGTGATGATCAGGAATTAAAAGACATAATACTAGAACTTATGAGCGAAGTTAAAGCAATCCGGAAGGACCAAATTTGTCAAGGCGAAATATTTATTTAAGTTAAAAAAAAAGAAAATTTAGAACTAAATGGAACAATAAATTTCGTGTAAAGCAGACTTGATGGATGAACCAATGAGAAAACAAAATATTATAAATAAAGGAAAAGGTTTTAAGGATAATGAAGACATTGAAGTTTTCTACGTTCCGCGATATCGAATTCTTTGATAGTCTATCTTCAATCATCTTCTATACCATGTAAGTTATTTTGTCCTAATATCGTCTACAATTTTGTGATCTATCATTATTTCTCTGATACGGTCATTTGTTATTCGATCTGTCCTGAAATTTCCAGGACTATTTGTGTATTGGCTTTCAATATACTCTCTACACTATGAAGGATAGATAACTTATTATAAAGAGTAAGAATGAAATAAGAGGAGTGAGAGGAGACGACGACGAATTGGTGAGATACAGCGAAAGTAAAAAGGGGAAAAGATACTGGAACGAAGGTTAAATATCGGAATATATGTATAAACAATGAATAGTACAAATAAAACCAGAATTCCGAAAAGGTATTTCAGGTTTCAGGATTAAATGGTGGTAAAAACATTATGCATAATAATTGAATGAACTCACCGTATGCCGATTTTAATCTTGCAGCGTGATTACTGGAAAACGTTTCTAAAAGAATATCTGCAATGGAAGATACGACAGGAGATTCTCTCTGTCTTTGTCTAAGTCTCGCTAAGAATCCTAAATGTAATTCAGTCAGGTCGATAAGTCTTGGAAACATCCTCTCCAAATTCGGCCCTAATTGGAAGTACTTATGTAATCCTTCTACAAAAATCTAAAAAAAAAACAAAAACATAACATTATATATTAATAAAGCTTATTACAGTACATGAATCTTAAATAAGATTTACACTTTGCGTAAATATAAAAATGTGTCAATGTAAATTCAATGTAAAAGGGCTTCCATGGGCTAAATAAATAGAAGAATAATAACTACTCTAATAAGTAATTTAAAAAACAAATCGGGATAGTAACAACATAAAACGAAGTAATACACCTCATAGTCCGCAGTGTTCCTCCTTGTCAAAAAGTAAATAAGAACTATATACACGGGATTTGAAATACCTAGCTCTCGAGAAACAACAGAGAGTTTAATTATCCAACCAATCAACTATTTCATGCCCCAACTTTTTGTCTATAGCATCATCATATGCTAAAATTGAAGAAGAATTAAAGAGAAAAAATATACATAGATAGATACATAAAAGCTCTTCGCTTAGAATGGATAAGGCATATACAGAGACACACACCAACACTCATATGTGCTGAGAAGGGTAACTAACTGGACACCACTATGGCCCAGATGTAGAGGAAGGCCTAGAAGAAGATAAACAAATGCTGAAATTGAAGAAGAATTAAAGAGAGAAAATATAGTCAGATACATAAAATCTCTTCGCTTAGAATGGATAGGACATACACAGAGATACTCACACTTATATATGCTGAGAAGGGTAACTAACTGGACACCACTATGGCTCAGGTGTAGAGGAAGTCCTAGAAGAAGATGGCTGGATGATGTAAAAGATGATATAAGAACAATGAATGTTAAACACTGGAAAGTTCAGTGCAAAGAAAGGAAGGAATGGAAAAAAATCACGACAGCAGCAAATGCAAGATATAAATGATCTAGAAGAATAATCCACCTCGTCCAAGAATATTAAAATATTTAACAATAAGAATTTTAAACGCCATAGCGTTAGCTATGGCTAAAATACGAGAAGCAAAGAGTCAACATCTAGCCAAACAGTGTCATGACATTGAAGAACTCGAAAAAAGATACGACACGTTTAACATGTATAAAAAAGTAAAAGAAGCGGCTGGTATCTTCAATAAGAAACAAAATGCATTGCTACAGGATGAAAACGGTAAAGTAATATTCGAAGTAGAGGACAAACTTAAAGAATGGGAAAATTACGTCACGAACCTATTCGAAGACGATAGGAGTAGTTCAATTCCCGATATTACTAACTGCGACGGACCCCTAATAACACGCTGTGAGGTTATAAAGGCCATACAATCATCAAAAGATGGCAGAGCGACTGGTCCTGATGAAATTCCAACTGAAATATATAAGCTTATAAAGGATAGCAATGTTTTAGAGGCTATAACTTCGTTTTTCAATACCATTTATACCAGCGGACAACTACCTAATGGTTGGTCTAACTCACTGTTTATAGCTCTACCTAAGAAGACAACAGCAAAAACCTGTGCTGATTATAGAACCATCAGTTTGTTAAACCACTTATTGAAAATTTTTCTGAAGGTAATACATGGTCGTATCTACAATAAATGTGAGGAATACCTGGATGACACTCAGTTTGGTTTCCGTAACGGATTTGGAACGAGAGAAGCACTGTTTGGAATGAACGTACTTGCTCAAAGATGTCGTGATATATCTGTAGACATATACTGTTGTTTTATTGACTTTCAAAAGGCATTTGATCGTGTTAAGCACTCTATATTGATCGAAGCTCTAAAAGACATTGGCTTGGACGGCAGAGATGTTCGAATAATTGCAAATTTATATTGGAATCAAACAACATCAGTTTTAGTAGATGGTGTGGAATCACAAGCTCTCAATATTAAAAGAGGAGTACGGCAGGGATGCCTCTTGTCACCCCTGCTTTTTAACGTTTACTCCGAAAGAATTTTCAGAAAAGCACTTTCTGAAAAACAAGAAGGAATACTTGTGAACGGCGAAGTCATCAATAATTTGCGATATGCGGACGATACAGTACTCCTAGCTTCTAGTCAAGAAGATCTGCAAACACTACTTGATAGCGTCGTTGAGAGTTGTAGGGAGGCAGGTCTGGATCTTAACATAAGGAAAACCAAAATACTCGTAATAAGTAAACAACAGAATATAAAACCGTCTATATATGTAAATAATACCAAACTTGAGCAAGCTGATAAAATCGTCTACCTTGGACAGCAATTTAATTGTAATGCAGAAAATCACGGCGAAATTAGATCCAGAATAGAGCAGGCTAGAGCTGCTTTTAGAAGGATGTCCAAGGTGTTATGTAACAGAGACCTAAAATTGGCATTAAGGATCCGCCTACTTCGCTGCTACGTGTTCTCGGTCTTACTTTATGCTGTCGAGTCCTGGACTGTGAATAAAATCGATCTAAATCGCCTTGAGGATTTCGAAATGTGGTGCTATAGAAGAATTTTAAAAGTTTCCTGGGTGGAGAAGATTCGTAACTCCACATTACTAGAACGTCTCAGCAAGACTGCTGAGATCATAAAAAGCATCAAGCAGAGAAAGCTGGAATATTTCGGACATGTAATGAGAGGTCCCAAATATAGATTGCTACAAAATATCATGCAAGGAAAAATAGCAGGCAAACGCAGTCTAGGACGAAGAAGAACCTCATGGTTGAAGAACTTGCGAGATTGGTATGGTGTAGATAACATGTTTAGGGTGGCAGTGAATAAAATTAAAATAGCTATGATGGTAACCAACGTTCTGAAAGGACATGGTACATGAAGAAGAAGATAGCGTTAGCCATAATTTCTAGGGATTGTAAAGATTAATGAATGAATGAATTCTGCTGCGATATTATCTCTCCACTCCACTGCACTGCCTTGGGTTATGATGACTGGTCTCCGACCAGCTTTACGACACCCTGTCTTGTCAGGTATTATTAATTTTGGTATTATTTAAATCCATTTTGGCGCCTTGACATTATTTTGTTTACAAAGAGTTTTTATAAAGGCTAAATATTACCGCAACGTTCGATTTCTTGGAACAAGTATATATTTATAAGCAAATAATGGGACTTAATATTTTCTAACTTCTAAATTATACTGAGTGACAAAAAAAGGTTAATATCTACATATTACTTATCCGATATTAATAATTTTTTGTATACGTGTTGTATACATCTACTACTATTAAAACCATTAAATTTTCAGTTTGATTCGCCACCGTAGAAGTTGGTTCAATAAAGTATTGAGGATCTACGATCTCCTATACACTTATTGACACGCCTGGGCATCGTTCTGTGCAGAGTATTGCAAATTCAAGAGCCTCATGCCTGGGACATATCATGTACCAGACATGTTCAATTGGAGACAGATCAGGCAATCGTGGTGGCCAAGATAAATTGTTGATGTGATGTTGATTAACGAAGGCTAATGATTCATGTAGCATGTGATCTGGCAATGTCTTACTGGAATAAGGCTCCACTATTTCCTTAATATAGCGTCGGGCTGTCAATTGCTTCTGATAAAAATTAGTGGTAATCTGTTACCATAAGCAATAGCTACCCTATACCATAATTCATATGGTGTGGTGAACGTGCCGCTCTCTATCAAACTGTGGGTCACGTCTTTCGCCCGTCGCCTTCTTACTCTTGCCCGGCCCTACTGCATCCGCAAACAGAAGCGGGATTCATCACTAAAGACCACTTGATTCCATTCCTTGTCCCACAGAATAGCTGTGAGAGGTAGCACAAAATTTGGGCGATAAAAACACAGAACAACCTGTCATATTGGGCGATATACCGTATGCATACCGACCATCTTTCCATGTTCTTCAAATCACTGATTTGCGATGGCTCGAATACTACTAAATCTGCCTCCTAGAGCCAAAAGTCTTAATCGGAGATCTTGTCGCTCTGTACTGCAGTATCCTGCGTAAGGATCTTTTGGGCCTCTCAGAAACCTCTCTTATCGATAGACCGGCTTCACGCAATCTGACAATTCGGTCCCACTCAAAGTCAGATTCGCTGACACCCCCGGCGAATTCTGGGCATTTTGAGCAATCAAAAAGCTCAATCAGCTACACGAATTAAAATGTACTATCAAAAAATCACGCAGCCACAAAAACTTAGCAGATAAACCTGATTATCACTTGTTGTTTATGGCAAGAAAAGTCGATATGTAAAATTAATGAATTCTAATAAACATACGTAGGTATTTACCTTTGTTTGTCACTCTGTACAGTTATCATAATGATCAAGCGGACCAATTAGAACTTGCTTACCTTCTGCATGACTAAAAGTGTCATACAATGATGCTTTTCAGTTAAAATAAATTCATAAACATGCTCTTGTCGTTTAACTTCTTTCTCTTTTAATTTCCTCGATATATCTTTACCGACGTACGGCGACCACGAATCCGGCTCGGCTTCGTGTAATCCCAAGGTAAAATCTGAGCATAAATCAGCTGCCGTCAGTGGAGAGTCTGACAGAAACTCCAAAGGTATAATGGGGACATCGTCGGGATAGCTGCAAATATATAACAGGCTTTAATAGTATAATATAAAAGGAACTAGGTTCAGTAGAATGGCTTGATGAACAGTACTTTTATCATTGATTATAAACCACTACCTAGATAGCTCACTATAAGGTAAAAACGAATTCAGTGTTAAACTCCGCCCACTTACACCTCTTTGCCCCTCACGCCTAAGTACTACCTGACTGTATGGTGGCGACATTCATTGAAATATTTGCCAAGATTGAAAAATAAATTTAAGTTCCATGCTCCGCCAATTCTCTAGTGTAATAGAGGACGACATAAGGATGGCACTCAGCATTTTCACAAATAATTTTAACGTGCTTGTAATCTATATTATGAAATTCCGATTTTACTTCAGAAAAAACGCTAAAAATTGATTAATAAAAACAGTAAAGGTTTTCTAAAAATTATTTATTTATCAACACAATACAAAAAAATAACAAAATATAAAATTCATAATAAAATTAGCAGTGATAAATTACATCTCATGTAAATTACTTTTTTGTAACTTTTCAAACAAATTAATTTCTAGAATTGATGAAAACTAAAATATTTCAAGCTAAATATACAGAATTTATTTCCAGATTTAGTCCATTCACTCACGGTAAAATATTGCAAAACCTCATAATTTTAAAGAATCGCTTGGGTTGACATGAAATTTGGCTTACGCCTAACTAAGATGTCAAAGAAAAATAGATTATGCTTTTGCCCTATGGATTAGTATCACCCCTTATCGGGAGTGAAAAAATATATGTTCAAGATAAGTTTGGAAGTGCCTAAAATCAGTAATTCTAAGCAACTTTGGTTCTATAGAGTTTTTTAAAAGTCAATACTTTTCGAGTTATTGAAAAATAGGTTCTTATTCGCCAAATTCCATGTTGAATATTTCAACGTGAAATAATAAAAAACTAAAGCACTTTTCGACGAAAACTCATTACAAGTTTTTTTAAAGTGTTTAAAAAAGGTTTATTTTTGTTAAGTTTCTTGCATAAAGAGTAAGCAAGTTATGACCAAAATATTCAGAAAAGCAAAACCTGCATTTTTACTTTGTGATTTTTGGTGTCACTAATAATTTTAAGTTGTTTTGAAAAAAAAGCATTTTTTTCAAAATTAAAAAAAATTGTTAAAAAATAAGCCCTTTGAACAAATCAAACTTACAGATCATTATAATAATACAATAAAAACAATGACCAAGGTATTTATTAGAGAAATCAGGACACGCATTGAAATTGCAAGACAAGCATTTATAACAATAAAAAAAATGTTTGTTAATCGAGATCTTATCTAGTTTTGATGGGAAATAAGCCACAATTTTACTAAAAAAATCATTTTATTAACGTTTCGACGCCTAAATCGGGTATCGTTGTCGTGGTTCCCGCAGTTTTTTTGCCAAATTTTTGTGCGCTCTGCGTCTTTCAGGGGAAATTTAAAGAAAGATATATTATTATTTGTTCCATCGTTTCTTTCAAAACATCCCGCGTAAACACATTTATGCGTTACACAGGCCATTTTATCTAAAATGTGAGTCCTTTTTTTTATAAAATTTAGCTATAACTTGTCACAACACTAGACACAGATAATACACTTATAGGGTAAGTTCGGCCCTGACACCACTCCTATCTCTTCGCAAGTCAGAGAGAGAATGAGAATCTCGATACGGTTTTCGAGTAATGCCATCTAGTTTTTGATACGTCTTTCGGTTACCACGAGGTGAGCTATCTAGGTAGTGGTTTATAATCAATGCTTTTATATAGCATCAACCTTTTGCAGGAGGGGTAAATCAATAGCTTTTAAAATGCTTGAGAAACAAGTTGTGCTGCATAAAGAACAAAATGTTCATTATGCTCAAGTTTTAGCAATAGATAAATCTCTGCAGGAACAAAAAATTCATAAATAGTTCTAAATATTCTTACAGCACTGGAAATAATATTGGGAGAAGTGTATACATCATCTTGAAGTTGATAATATATAAGCTTTTTAAATAAATTTTTTAAACATTTTGCGCATTAATTCAAACAGATTCTGCTCTTCTGAGATAAGTAGTTGAGAATATCTCAGACTCGCATCGACGGTACGAGTTTCAAAGGAAATACAGTAGAACCTGCTTAAGTCGAACTTCGTTAATTCGAAATCTTCTTTAATTCGAATTTTTATTCTGGTCCCTAGCATTTCCTATATAAGTAATGTTAAAAAGTCGTGGATAATTCGAACTTTTCTACAAGTTAAAAATGCCAATTTCATGCTGAAAATTTCCGCTAAAAGAGGTAGTATTCTTTTCTGTTCTAACGTGCCACTTGTTTCAAGGCCATTGTACATTGTACCCGTACCTGTCACCTCAATTCTAGCCCATCTGGCACGCCTCTGCAGTTGAGATGCGTTGGCGTTGCAATTGCAATCACCGCAAATCACGTCAAGTCACTTCGTATTGAGTAAAGATGTCGTCGCATGGTAATACGAAAACATACAAAACTTTAACGTTATCGGAAAAAATAGCGGCGATTAGAGAAGTAGAAAAGGGGACGAAGAAAAAATCTGAGATTGCCAGGGACTTTGGAATTCCTCCTAACACATTATCCACCTACTTGAAGAATAAAGAGACAATTCTCAACAGTGAAAGTGAGTGCGGTAAAGATTGAAAAAGGTTAAGGGAGCCAGAAAATCCAAATTTAGACAGTTGTTTGTTAAAATGGTTCAAACAAGCTATGGATAACAAGATTCCCGTGAGTGGTCCCCTTATAAGAAGCAAAGCTGAATAATTTGCTATTGAAATGGGGAAAAACAATTGTAAGGCGAGTACAGGGTGGCTCGACGGCTTTAAAGAACGCAACAAAATTTCTTTCAAATTCATTTGTAAAGAAAGTGGGACCGTTAATCAGCAAGAAGCCAACCAGTGGAAAAAATTTGGAAGAGATGATTCAGGGTATAGATGAAAGAGATATCTTTAATGTTGACGAGACAGGTCTCTTTTTTAAATGCACTCCTGACAAAACGCTAGCATTTAAAAATGAAAAATGTCACGGAGGCAAACTAAGTAAAGAAAGAGTAACTCTCCTAATTGGTGCAAACATGGAGGGATCAGAAAGACTGCCGCTACTGATGATTGGCAAGTCGGCTAATCCGCGTTGTTTTAAGAACGTCAAGTCAAAACCAGTGGAATATATGAGCAGCGCAAGAGCTTGGATGACTAGTGATCTTTTCGAGAACTGGCTGAAAAAATTAGACAAAAAGTTCATAAAAGAAAAAAGAAAAGTTATTTTGTTTATTGACAATTGTACGGCACACACCACTATCCCACTGATGGAAAATGTAAAAGTTATTTATTTCCTGCTAATCGTTTCTGATCCTGCCATCTCTTATGAAGATTTTGTCAACATGGATGAAGATATTGCAGTATGTGGTGAAATAACCGATACAGAAATCATCGCTGAAGTGCTTAAGGACAATGATGAAAAACAAGAGAGTGATGAAGACGACGCATCATCATTTGCGGGAGAAATACATGTTCCGAGTGCGGCCGAAGCAACACACCATATTACGCAACTTAAACGGTACTTTGAAAGTAAAAATGATGTAAGTCACTCTACTTTTAGTTCACTGAACATCTTAGAATCGTTTGTCATTACCGAGACGTTAAATTCTAAAAAGCAGCTAAAAATTTTGGATTTCTTTAGAAAAAATTAGTCTATTTTCATTAATTGTAACAAATATGTATTCTTATTTTAATAAATTTTTTGAGACAAAATGTTTTATTTTTTTAATGATGCGCTCTCACTGGGAATTTTTTATCTGCCGATTGTTTCGGCTAAGATTTGGCCAAAAATACCAATGAGAAAACCTGCAAATGATAAAAATCGACAATAATTGACCATTTGTTATAGCTTGCAAATGCTTTAATTGGTATTCTGGCCTAATTTTGTTGGCCCATTTTTTTCGGTTGACAAAATTCGGGCAAAAATAGTAATGAAAACATCTGCAAGCGATAAAAATGGTCAACTATTGTTGATTTTTATCATTTGTATATGTTTTTGTAGGCATCTTTGTTTTTTTGTGGATATATTTTTAATTCGAATATTTGGATAATTCTGCAAACGATAAAATATTTCGATATCTCTGCAGAAAATATCTGCAAGCGATTAAAATGGTCAACTATTGTTAATTTTTATCATTTGTATATGTTTTTGTAGGCATCTTTGGTTTTTGTGGATATATTTTTAATTCGAATATTTGAATAATTCTGCAAACGATAAAATATTTCGATATCTGTGCAGAAAACATCTGCAAGCGATTAAAATGGTCAACTATTGTTGATTTTTATCGTTTGCAGATGTTTTTGTATGCATCTTTGTTTTTTGTGGATATATTTTTAATTCGAATTTTTGGATAATTCGAATTTTTTTAACGGTCCCTTGAGGTTCGAATTATCCAAGTTTGACTGTAGTACGTTTTGAAACGAAACTAAAATTTTAGGAATTGTATTCAACACTAAATTTTCCAGAGAATTCTTAATATTCTTTAGTGCTATAAAGCATTCAGATGTGATTTAAAAGGACAACTTACCTGGCAGCATCATGTTGACCATGCGACCCACTGTCTTTGTCATCGTACAGTATCTGGCTGAAAGGCAAAACGAACATTACCACAAAAAAATCAAGGCAACATAACAACTGGCCTAACAAGCCCAGGCCTAACTAAATATTAAAATAAAATAAAAAACAAACAAAAACATGTCACAAATGTGATACCTAGACACTGTATGTGGTGGATGTAGTGAGTTTATAGACGAATAATAGTTTTGACAGAATAATTAAAAATAATCAAATTTTAATATTCAATCAATATGAAGCAATGCAAATAAAGCCAACAATTAAACAGTCGATATTTGTAATCCAAATCATATAAAAGCTTAAGATAACTATAACAATTTATAGAATTCAATTAACAAAAATTGTATAATTAGGTTTTATAATTATAATTTTCAAAATTTTATTGTCTTCCCCAACAATGTTTTTAATGAAACCTCATTTTCCTTTGAAAAGTCACCTTCTTTAAGCTATATAGTAATGTATTTTTGTTAAGACTAGCTTAAAAATTAAGCCAAATTAATAAAAGGGATATAAATATTCAAATTGTTTGATTTGCAGTGTTGATGTTATTACTACTTTTTGCTCACAGTTTTATTTTTCTGGGCCAGTATGTAGCGCTGAATTAACTAAAAATGTAATTAAAAAAGGATAAAAAATTAAATTAGTAATAGTTCTTTCTTTCTAATAAATCTTTCTTAGTTCTAGTCCTGACAGCATGACATGGGGAGTGGAATGGGGAATGGAAGCCACAGTCTGAATAGCTCTTGATATCTGGTGGCACACGTACAGGCTTTGCCAATTAACTATGGCTTAAAACAGCAAAAATCTAAAGTTATATTAACATTCACAATCTTTGTAGAGGTAAATTTACAAACTGAACAATCAAAAACGTTTTGAACAACCTCGAAGAGAAATAGGCACGCTGTAATAGTACTCTAAACCTGATCAAAAGTTAATTCATAATATTATATAATTACCAATATTCACTTAACAGCATATGTTTCAATGAATGTATCAATGATAATCCAGTGAGCAATTTTTCCTCTAACATTTCCGTGGGATGTGAGGAGTGAAAATTAACTTGACAGGACCAACACTCCCTTGACTTTAAAAGAAAATCAGGACCGCGCTACCAGAGTGAAAATTGTAGTAGTTGTGCCGGTGTCAAACCACGACTAGCACAATCAGCAGGGTTTTGATTAGACGGACACAATGCCAAGAAGAACATGGTATAAGTTCTTGTATGTATCTTACACGATTGGCAATAAAGGTTTTCCATTTATGGGGAGAAGAATTAAGTAAGAGCAATCGTGGAATCCGACCAAACATGAAAATCGGAAAAAGAAAAGATATGCATAAATTTAATAAAGGCGACTAGATCTGCCAACAAATAATAGGTACCAATCGAACAGAATGTTCATAACTTAAAGTTGTTATTTATTCTTCAAACAATTAAAAAACCAATATTAGTCCAGGCTGTGAGGCCGCTCCCGTTGGGAAAATGTTTCTGATTCCGTTTCTTCGCGGATTCCGGTTCAAAAATGTCCCCTTTAAACAAATCTGAAGGGTGCCGGGCGAAATTTTTGGGCAAAAATTGTTTAAACAATTTTTTTAAACAAAGTCCAAAAATTATTTTTTTTAATCTGGAAAACGTTTTTTTTAGGTTTTTTGGGCCATTTTAAACAAAAAAGTCTCTTGTCATTTTTCTCTAAAGTTGATAGTTTTCGAGTTATAAGCGATTTAAAGTCTGAAAAACGCGAAAATACGCATTTTTGAGGCTTGAAAACACATATGTAAATTATTATTTTTGAGGTTACCAAGTGTCTAAATTAAAGTTTAAACATTCAACTTCAAAATTGTGAAGAGTAATCGGGGCTTATTTTAATTCAGACCGTTGTTTTTTAATTGTTAAGTATGCGCGTACACTCGATTTTTCAGCCGCCGCGGCGCCGCGCGCTACCGTGCGCCTCTATCGTACTTATGAATAGTTTACATATACTTACAAATAATTATTATTTATTGAGTATATATTTATTTATATCAATTGAGTTATAATATAAATTTCGTCTAAAGTCTAATAATAGTCACATAAAATAATTGTACAAAAGATTGTTAAATAACACACTAATATCACTCAGTAAAAGTATCTTTGTTTTCACAAAAATCTAAATCACATCCACATAATGGTACACAGTTGACATGATTTTTCTTGCAGTTGCAAGCATTAATTTTGCAAGTCATTTTGCATTTGCACGGTTTCCCAACCCACCACTATCAGACATATAATATCCATATTGTGTAAAATCGAGTTTGATAGCGGGAATATATGGCATTTCGCCAAATATATGTTTTAGCGAAAGCTCTTAACAAGTGTTGGTAAAGTGCGTCAGAGGTACAAGGTATATTGGCTAGATAAAATTAAATTTTTCAGTCACACTGTCTTTTCGTCGAAGAGCAGCATTTTGTATTGTTATGTAAAAATCTACTTTAGGTTTTTGCACTAACTTAATATTGTTGATGTTATTACAAAAAATAAAAACTAAATTTTCTTCGGTAAGTTTTCATTTAAGAAGAGGTACGGAAAAAGACATTTTAAATCCATTCACAATTTTGTTAATAACACATTAATAATATAATACCCTTTTAATGGGCATTAAACAATAGTCTTCCTAATGATCGTTTAAGTAATAACAAATCAAGTATGAGCGCGCGATTGTTAAACAGGTAAAAACTAGCATTTTTGCGATAGTATATTGTTTTTAAACACCGCGCAATTTAAAATTAAGTTTACTAATATTAATATTTACTGCATTGTATTATTTAAATAATAATTTAAAAATATTATGTACAATTGATATAAATAAATATATACTCAATAAATAATAATTATATTGTCCAAATTTGGAAGAAAAAAAAAACTATATACGGTTATTACATTGCGATGATTGATTTATTTAATTAGCCCAATGACAATAATTAATACCTACATAAATAAATTATGGAAAAAACTATGTTAATAAACTTCAAGGATTTGTTCGGGTTTTTTTGCGTAAGTGTATATGTAAACTATGCATAAGTACGATAGAAGCGCACTCTAGCGCGCCGCGCCGCGGCGGCTGAAAAATCGAGTGTACGCGCATATTTAACAATTAAAAAACAATGGTCTAAATTAAAATAAGCCCCAATTACTCTTCACAATCTTGAAGTTGAATGTTTAAACTTCAATTTAGACACTTGGTAACCTCAAAAATAATAATTTACATATATGTTTTCAAGCCTCAAAAATGCGTATTTTCGCGTTTTTCAGACTTTAAATCCTTTATAACTCGAAAACTATCAACTATAGAGAAAAATGACAAGAGACCTTTTTTATTTAAAATGACCCAAAAAACCTTAAAAAACGTTTTCCATATTAAAAAAAAATATTTTTGGAATTTGTTTAAAAAAAATTGTTTAAACAATTTCTGCCCAAAAATTTCGCCCGGCACCCTTCAGATTTGTTTAAAGGGGACATTTTTGAACCGGAATCCGCGAAGAAACCGAATCAGAAACATTTTCCCAACGGGAGCGGCCTCACAGCCTGGACTATATTTACAACTTCTGAGACAAACACATACAAATTAGAAATGTTTGGAAAGGTTTTTAAAATTCCCGCCCATTGTGACGTTAGAGCTTAGGTAGTCCATTAAACTGTGCCTATTTAAAACAATTCAAAACTAGTTTCGATAAATAATTAATATCTGGCGTTATCGGAGATATGTCAAAAAGGGATAACCTTCTGTCTTGATTTGGAATATGTTAATACTTAGTATATTAAATAACATGTTGTTTTTCTTCGTGTTTCACACATTTTCAATACACTTTTGAAAGCTTCGAGAATTATTTAATATAAGTAAAAACAGGAATCTTTCCTGTCATTTATTTAACTTAATATTTTATACTCTATGATTATTTTTAAATTTCTGTCAAAATATATCATGTATAAACCAAACCAAACTTTACTTGCGTTGAATAGAGGAAGAATAGAAAAAAATCATGCCTGAAAGCGAAGTAGCGTATGAAGCGATTGCAAAAAACTGAATAACCTATAAAATAAAATCAGTCAGTTAATCAAAAAATTTACCGCAAAAAAAGAACAGCTAATAGACTAGATTGTTTAGAAGTTTGCCTATGCTCAGATATAGCCTATGATGATTTGTGTTAGTTGAATTTGTCGAATAAAGACTTGTAAAATTTACTTTTATTGCATCATTTAAGTTCAACGTTTGATTTAAATAAGATAGAAAATATTACGCGCAAATTTATTTAATTTTACTTTATTCTGTATAATTTAGTATTATCAATAATTATTTCTTCTTGTACTATAAAGGGTGATCAAATCACTTTTGTAACAAATCTTTTTATGAATTTTGGTAATCATTAAAAACCATGGCTACAACAGGTCGTTGCTTTTATAACTCTTTTCAGTTACACAACGATTTTCATTGAAATTTGGTTATAACTTTTTAAATATTATGTATATTAACACAAAACAACTTGTATTCTTGAAAGGAGGAAGAGAAGCTGATGTTAAAATAAAATACAGGGGTTTTTATTTAAAAAATGTAAAGCTTATAGCTAACTCCTATTTTTATAAATTACTCTTTTTGGTATCCCCTACAATATCAGATATAACGGAATGTCACAAAAGTTGATTACCCTATACACATAAGCATTGAGACAGGTACCTGAACGCATACGCGTACACATTATAGTGTTTATTCACATGGCTGACACAGACAGGTATGGTTCCAACAATGGAAATTTCATTACTACTGGTCAATAAAAGTAATAAATTTTAGTGATCTCACTAGAATCGTAAGAAATGGCAAAAATCGCGCAAAGTGTATTTATTGAACAGCTTTATAGAAACTGACTGACATTTGCGGCAAAATACATAATATGCATACAAAAGTTGCACGTTTCACCTTTAGAATTATCTTAGGCAAAAAGATTCTTGGTAAATCGTAAATTGATTTTTGCGTTTTTATC